AAAAAGATGATTAATTCATTAAAGATCTATTTAGATTTAAATGGGAAGAATGTATTTGTAAAATCTTAGCAATTGAATTTGAACTAAATCCAACGTTTAGCTAGACAGTCTGGTTCGCAGAACCATTTACTTATTTATATTCAATAATTTTGATGTTTGAATAAAATTCCTTAAAAAAAGGTTGGATCAGATTGCCAGACGAAACTTTGGATTTACTTCAAAGTTCATTCGTTGAGAATTTACAAATATATTCTCTCTTGTTAATGTCTCACATCAACCCGGTGCTTGAATACTGTGAAACAATCCGATTAAATTTAGGCGAAAGTCCTTATATATATTTAGATTGTTATACGATACTATCATTTTTCATTTTATGATAACAAAAAACCTTTCGTTTTCACTTTGATTGAAGTAGAAATTTATCTAAACACCAATTAATTTGCAAAAACAAAACACTGATAACTTGATAAGACAAGCTTTCGAATGAAAACAATGAATTTTACAATATTATAAGTTCAGTTTCTCGTAATGAGCCTAAATCGGGTAATTACAAACAGTAAAACTAGCGAATACGAAAACATTACATGCTAAAGAAAGTTCAATACAAATATAGATTTATTAAATAAGACATCCATCGAGGTTACTGGCAAAGTATCTTCAAATTTGACTAGATACTTCTAAAATTCACAATACCTTTTTATATAGAAAGTATTAGAAGGCCTTTTTTGATTCCAAGCGATGAATACATTTGCTAAACAGTAAATATTAACGATTAGTTCATGAATCTAAACAATAAAGAAAAGAAATACTTGTTAATAGTTACAATGTAATATCAAAATGAGTAAAGTTGAGCAAACGTACATAATTGAGTTGGATCATTCAATTCAACTAGATAATTCAGTTAGTTAATTCACAATTATTTGCTTATTATCCTAACATTTTGTTCATTGTACTGCCCAATGGATTTAAAATAAAGTTTATAATGAATTATGATAGCTTTTATCAGTAATAGTATTACACTTTCTTAACTGTGTCATTAATAAAGGATTTCTTGTTCTCCCAATAATATATATCATATTTAAAACAGTACTAATTAGTGATTGCAAAATGTCACTGATCATAGTGTCTTCCTACTCAAAATATCTGAAGTTGAGTAGAAATTTTTATTACCAACGTTTTTTTTGAGTGAATTTGTTTGATTTGGTTTTAACATTTTAATGACTTTATTATATCCCGACGAGAATTCCGAGTGGTAACTCTTGGGAACAATTTATGGACCAATACGATACATATATTATTATCGCATAATTATTAAGCAGCTAAACTATGCATATTCATGTTCCTCTTATTATAAGCTTTATTTTGACCCACTTTGACTATTATTATACGATTTACATTTCTTGAGTTCTATCCAGTCTATTAATTATAGTCTCCCACATTCACAGCCACTTTCGGCTAGATCTTGTATAAATGTTATTCTCTATTTTATGGTGAGATGTGGTATGTTTGATTTGTATATAAACCCAGTATGTTTGAAATACATAATACATATCGCGGAGGCTGAGATTGGTATTCTGGACTTGACGGACATCACTGTTCTCTAATTGGCGATATCATTACAGTGTACATATAAATAGGGCATAAGGTCACAAATTTTAACAGACGTGTATACAATAAACAGTATCTTTTAATGAAAATAATATATTTGCAATATCCCATTGAGTAGAAAAAATAAGTCTTCAAAATTTCTGACGTTACGTAACTCAAGGTGAGCTACGTATTATTTTTTATTCTTTGAAGAAGTAGCTAACATTAAGTCACGAAACATCAAAAAATTTAAAAACTTAATTTATCTACTTATCAGGATATTACAAATATATTATGTTTATCAATAACAATCTACACGATGGTCAACTTATTTAAAAATATCAAGTAAAATATTCGTAATGATACCCACAAAAATGTTTTGTTTGATTAATCTTTATATATATATATATATATATATATATATATATATATATACTTATGCCTGTTACTCCCAATGGCGCATAGGCTGCCCACCAGCATTCTTCAACATACTCTGTCCTGGGCCTTCTTTTCTAGTTATATCCAATTCTTGTTCATTTTTCTCATGTCTATCTCCATTTCTCGGCGTAATGTATTCTTTGGTCTTCCTCTTTTCTTTTGGCCTTGAGGATTTTATGTGACGGCTTGCCTTGTGATACAGTTCGGTGCTTTCCCCAATGTGTGTCCTATCCACTTCCAGCGCTTCTTCCTCATTTCTTCCTCCACTGGGATCTGATTTGTCCTTTCCCATATTAGGTTGTTGCTGATAGTGTCTGACCAACGGATCCAAAGTATTTTGCGTAGACAGCTGTTAATAAACACTTGTATCTTCTGGATGATGGCTTTCGTAGTTCGCCACGTTTCCACCTCATACATTAGAACTGTCTTGATATTTGGACTGAAGATCCTGACTTTGGTGTTGGTTGACATTTGTTTTGAGTTTCAGATGTTCTCCAGTAAATATGCTGCTCTTGCTTTGCCGATATATATATATATATATATATATATATATATATATATAGATAGATAGATAGATAGATAGATAGATAGATTGGTAGATAGATAGATAGATAGATAGATAGAATGGTAAATAGATAGATGGAGAGTTAGATGACAAGATAGATGGATGGGTAGATAGATAGATAAATTCAATACTTCAAGTTCGTTAAACTAATGAAAATTTTCATTTGAAAATATCTAACCAAAAGACAATCACATCAACCAGTACTGACCTTTAATTTCATTTTCTTCAAATATACATTCATCACTAATATTAGGAAGAATTAAGATGGACAAGAACATAACTGGGTTTTTCTTTTCTTTTCTTTTTTATTTGATAATCAATCAACCTTATTTGATTTGTAATTTATTCATTAAATAAATAAATAAATAAATAAATAATGTTCTCTATGAATCAAACATAATTTCAGTCAAATAACTAATTAAATTAACTCTGTGTAATTCAATTAGATTTTCTTTTTCTTTTTGAAAGTTCATTCAAATGGTTCTATGGGATGTTTTTTTTTTAGTTTTTTTTGTTGTTGTTGTGGATCAACTAGAAATTTGTCTTTTTCTCTTTGTTTCTTTTTTGTTTTCAGTTTGGTAAATATATTTTGTATTGGAAATCAGATTTTAAATAATTTCAATTTACTTTTTGTTTCTATATATTATAAATTTGTAATAACCGTATGAATTGTTAGTTATTGTAAGAAATATATATATGATACAGTTAGATTTTTTTATAAACACAAAAAGGTTTTGTGGATATTATAGTAATCTAATAGTTGAGTTCATGAATCAATTGAAGTTGGACCACTATGAAAAACCTGGAAGTGCTCGACGGCCGTTGTGTCCTGGTATCAAACTTCTCAACTGTGCGCATCCACGATCTTGCCTTGCGAGATTTGAACCTAGGACTTATCAGTCTGTAGAGCAAGTGCTTGAACTCTAGACCACTGAGCCAACATCCAATGGTATGCTTACATGGTGGTATAGCTTCAGTTGACTCACGAATTCAACTGTTAAATTTTTTGGGTTCATCACTAACAATAATTGTGGTTAATTTTAAATTTGGATTACAATTTTGTAAAAAGACAAATATATAATTAAATTAACTTTGTTTTACTCTAAATCAATACAATACAAACTAATGTATGAAGTTTGATCATCACAATCTAACACAATAAAAATGTTATTCCCTGTCAAATCATTTATTTATTTGTGAAAAAGCATACTATTTTAATTCACTTAGTACTGGTTACTTGAATCTTCTCACTGATGTTTAGGATTGTAATTGATCCGAAATACAGGTACATCCAGCTGAAGAGTCTCTAATAGGATGAAACGTGCATCTTGAATTCTACTTCTAGCCATCACCCATCTTTAATTGTAATGCTTATGAATTAAGGCAATATCGAGGCAACACGCACAGTATGTACATATTCTAATAAGAGACCGATCATTTACAATCCTAAACATAAATGTTAATTTTCAAGTATACAGTACCAAGTGAATTTAAATTTCACTTGATTGCACAAGTAAATGGCTATCAGGACTCAGTAGCCAAGTAGATAACGTGGTGGCGTCTGAAGTAAACGGTACTGGGTTTGGGTTTCTGAGGAAACATCAAATCTGATATGCAGGCACATCCAGCTGATGAGTCCCAAATGGGAAGAAATACGTGTCCTGAATTCCACTGCTAGCCACTATCCATCTTGGTTTATCGTACATTTGTTTCCCGAACATTGTTAGTGCTATTTTGTATGAATATATCAAGGTTTTATTTACTAAATTCATTTTAAATAGATACACACAAAACAGTAGATTTTATGAAAAGTCTTAATCCGTCGTTATATTTTCACCAGTTGTAGTACATTAGGTTTGATATCTACATACCACTAGCTGTGAAATCTGTAATCAAACCTACTATAAATTGTCATGATACCATCTATCATCTTTTGAAAATGGCATAAATATAACAATTATTTATTTTAAGTAGATAAGGAAGTACTGAATCTTTAATTCTTCATTCAATTATGCATTTCTAACTTCAATTCCATAAAACCTTATTTATTAATATGTGTTCTAATCCAAAATAAATAGTGACCTAATGTTACAATGTACATGTTAATCTTCATATCTATCTGATAATAAATAATATTCCTAGGAAATTATCAATTACTCAAATGTCAATATTCAAGGCCTATGATTCTACACTCATTTCTTTGATGCATTGGTCGTGTCTAGTACTGTAATATGTAATATATTTCAAAATAACAGTTCCTTTTATAATTATTATTTTAAGCAATGGAACCAACTATTCCATCTTATCTTTTAATAATAATAATAATCTTTTTCTAATTTTTGTCACCGTTATTAATTTTTATTAAAAATGATCGTTGAAAAATTGACAATTCATTTGTATTCCATAACAGATGCACCAGCTAATGTCACAATTTCAGTAGAAAGTGGTAGCATTGATGATGATCATACTGGTGGACGCCATGAAAAAGTAGCATATGCACGTGCCGGTGAAATGAAAACATTTATTTGCAAAACTGCTCCATATTACGGTCAGGCAACTATTAAGTGGTTATTTCAAGCAGCCGGTGCTAGTATTACAACACCACCCAAACAACTGGTTGATAAAGCTGTCACATTCAAAACACCGGATGGAGAGAGTGTCTATCAGGAGTCACGGATTCAGATCACTGTTCGACCAGAAGATGACAGAAGTTATATAGATTGTCTTGTTTGGAGTGTTGGAGATGCACGCATTGATTCAAGAGTTCGCCTAGATATTATCCGTGAGTTCCTCTTCGTCAGATATATATTCGCTTAAATTATTAGATTTACTATTGTGTTTGTATTCATTGCCGGACAGCAGTGAGATTAGTAAACACATCAAAATGCTAGTAATGTTGTTCATTCTGAAACACTGATCTTTCGTCTAACACTTTTACGACGAAAGATTTCAAATGCTATGAACTAAAATTAAGGAATTTGTAGGTGTCATTACCAAGGTTTGATTTGATAATTTCGAATAAATTGAGCATTGGGTTGATTGTTATAAATAAAAATAATATATTTGTAATATCCCAATGAGTAGAAAATTGGATTTTCTGACGTTTCGTGGCTTAGTGTAAGTCACTTCTTCAGAGAATAAATAACCAAATTTGGTTATTTATTCTCTGAAGAAGTGACTTACACTAAGCCACGAAACGTCAGAAAATCCAATTTTCTACTCATTGGGATATTACAAATATATTATTTTTATTTAAAATTAAGGAAATTACTGGATTCCATTACCATATACAACCATGTGTAATTTAAAATAATCGTTACAGAAATTCTATATTATCAATGAATGAAGAACAAATGAGACCAGTAAGATTAACCACTACAATATTCAAATAATACTATTATGAAATACGTTTATCAAGTAATTAGAGAATAACTATTTTATATTATGATACGGAATTTTATATTGTTAGAACAAAATATATAACCGAACAATATTGTTTTCAGTCAGATCCTCATCAGACTTCATATTAATACACAATATTTGTGTGCATATACGAAAATACTAATCCAATCGAGGCATTTCATTAGTCAATACTAATAACAAAATACATTACCTAACTAAGTATAATAAACTCAAATATCAGTTTCTACCTTTTGCCCATCATTTTTAGCCAAATAATCAATTTCGTTGTTATTATTTGTCTAAATGAACTGCCTCGATTAGTTTGATATAATTATATATACATATAAATGTTGTATATTAGTGTAAAACCTAATGAGAATCTGGTTGAAAACAATATTATTCACTTATAGATGTTGTTCTAGTTATTCTCACATTAACAACTTGTTCAAACTAATACATTTTAATTAAACTTCTTATATATAGACTGTAAATTCAGTGCTTCCTATCAAAATCTACATTAAAAATGATATTGAAATAGATGCTAATAAAGTTTTACTGTTTATGTTTTTTTATCAATTACACATAGCAGTCTATCAATACAGATGTATTGGAAACTTCTTTTCTCTTTCAAATTCCATCACTAATTAATCATATTAGAATAAATTCAGTCTATTCACTTGATTTTATCATTAAACTTCAAATAATTTATCTAGTTACTAAACTGATGTCTGTGAAAGCGTTTCTCACCCTAGAAACGATTGATAATAACAGTCCGATAAAAAGAAATACAAAATCATTTTAAAAAAAATATTATTCACAAGTTTTATTTATCATTTTAACTTTATATTAAAGTTGATATTTGTCATAATGACAAGTGGGTGAGAATTATATTATAGTAATGGTTGTTATCATTATTGTTTGTCAATACTAAACAATAACACAAACGATAAATGTTGAGAAGTTTGTTAAATATTCAATAGTGAATATATATTTGTGATTTGATAACTAGCTTAGTTCAAATCATAAGTATGTTTGAGATATGAGTTAAGCGATTTTTAAGTATTCAGTTATATTAGAACAATAATGAATTTTTACCAACTAATTCATGTAACTTTACAAGCACAGTAATATTACAAAGATAATTTATTTGAAACTATCATATGTATAACCTAGAAATATGTTGTGAATTTACGGTGAGACTATAATTTATGAATGGACTTTGAGCGACGCTAAAGTCACCGTGAGAGTGTTCACCTAATAACTAGAACTGTGGTGTGTGCTACTTATATTGACATAAGTAGTAAATGATGTTAGCCGTGAACAGAATGTCTGGCAGCAGAGAGACAAGAGAACCGAACAGTGAAGAATGGGAACAGGATGCAATTTGTATGAAAATGCAAGAACAATGAAGTCTGAGTCATTTTGAGACAATCGATGGACATTTTGCAAATTAAGCATTTACTTTATGATTGTTAGATTTTATTAACAAGTCCTGTAATTTTTTGTCAAATACATTCGATTGTCCCCACCCGTGTTCTGTTTACTACAAAACCGAATAAGAGTTATAAACCAGTGTGAGGAATTACAATTATGATTTACAGTTGATGGTTAAGGTTAAGAAATAGATCTAGGGTTTTCATCATGAACTGACATCAGTTATGATGCCAAAACTCTATCTAGCCGAATGGATGAGTGAATGTCGTGCCAAAATCCGAGACCTATTATCTTATATATGATTGGTTCGTCCATAAATTATAGTCTCGCGGAATTTTCTTCAAGATAATAAAATGTAAATTCAACGTAATATTTCAGTATGAAAAACTGTAGAAAGAATCCATGCTCAAATAATTAGAACACATGTCTACATCCTGTCATATCTGTACCAATATTCTCATTGAAAATTGATGGAATTGAAGCACCGTTATTTTGGTTGGATCAAATTGTAATTTATTGTTTGTCTATATGATAAACTAAAAACATTTTTAAGTATGAGTAATTTATAAAAAAATAAAAACATTGAAACACGTACTCTTCAATAATTCACTATGCATCACTTACAAATATGATTTGGCAATTTGAATCTTGTCAGGTAATAAAAGACGATTTAAGACAAACTATAATGGCTGACAAATACTTTTCATTATCCTATTTTATGTTTATTCCATTTAACATTTTGAAAAACAGACTAGACTACACTAGAATTTCTTCTATACTTGTGAATTCACATGATGATTTTCAGTAGAAATTTTGATTCACATATTCTGTTTTCTGTATACAAGAACCATACTCAAATTTACTTTTACGAACTAAATATGATCAATATAATAAACGTATTTATTGAATGATTTATTGTCAGTTAAATGTACTAAAAAAATCTTGATAAACGTCTTCTGGATCGTAAACGTTCACTGGTTTTTCAGTCAAGCATATTCAACTTTCTAAAGGATTTTACTTGAATATTTGTTTTTCAGTTTATCGTATATAATGTGATGACCTGTATAAAAATTCTTATTTCTGCTAGGAGTAAACTGATAAGAAATTATGATAACATGTATTTTATCAAATAATGAACTATATTGAAATATCAAACCGATCTAAGTTGCACCACCACTGAAAACCTGGAATCACTGGATGGCTGTTCCATCCCAATATACGACTCCTTTGAAGTGCACATACACAACAGCACAATTGGGAGCGGAAATTAGGATATAGAGTCTCGCATAGATGCTTAACCTCTAGACCACTGAGCGGGGATCTGATGCTATACATGTCTAACTCCAATTAACCAACGATATTGTAAGGTCATCTTTCATTGTCTTCAGAGGATTGTTTCTCGCATCCAACAAGGTTTGGTTCTACTAATCACTGGCTCTTGCTAAAACTTCGAAAATTAGGGTTATGACTGAGTAGTGCTGAAGAGTCCTATAGTAGGACGGAACTGATGTCCGGTATTTCCTTATTCTCATTAGTCGTTCAACTTAGATCAGTTTGTGATTGCAGTGAAATCAAACAATCTTCACAACCCCATACTAACAAATAATGGACCAGTGATGAGAACATTTCTAAGATTTTAAATCCAACTTGAAAACCGGAAATTCAATGTAACTGACTGACATAACTACAAATTGTATTAAAACTTTAAAAGTATAGAATTAAACAAATTTTCACTGATAGCCGTAAAATGTAGGAAAGCCTGTAAACGAGAGCATAAAATATAGAAGGCTAGAAATCCTAAAAGGAAAAGAAATATATCTATATTAAGTATAAATCCGATTATTTTACAATCAAGTATATAACTAATCATTAATAAAGTTAACAGTCTTAAAATCATGATTGTGATGTTTATATTAGGGAAATAAGATATGCCTTCAATCTAAAGAACGATTACGATCTTAATGGCTATAAAGGACAGGTTTATAATTATTAACCACGTCATAGACCTACAGAGATGAATATTTACAAGTTCTTCTATTTGATTGTTTGCTAAAATTAAATCACAGTGTTTATTATTTTTATTAACAGGCTCAAAGACGTTTTTGAAAGACTTTAAGCATAGATTTATTGACTCAGACGAGGTAAAAACGATGTAGAATAAAGTAAAATGGACGTGTGATTAGCTATAATATTTCAGACAAAAAGATTTTGAAACTGCAGTCTTTTAAATAAAAGTCAAGAACTAAACTTTTTACCTTTCGCTAAACGTTTTTTGAATAAACATTTTTAAATACGCTTTCCACGTTGAACCTTATTTCTACTAATATTATTTATTTACAGATCCGCCAGATACGCCTAAGATTACTGGTTATAAAAGTGGCCAACCAGTGAACATGGCTCATCTTTTGGAATTTACGTGTACTACCACAGGTGGCAATCCACTGCCTGAACTCCAGTGGTTTAAAGGTAAGTGTAGTTTAAGTAACAATTTACTATGATTATTGCTTATTTAAATAGTCATTTGTAATCTAACTAAAAATATCTTATTAATTACATAGATATTTTGTTTTCCTATGGTTTGTATCATATCAACAGACTTGAAAGTAGCTTGTTGTTTATTCCTACTGAATGTCAAAATACGTTTAAACAACAAAATGAAAGTTGTTAGCCAAGTAACTTACACAGATATAAATTAACAAACCAAACGCATTGAATGCACAGGTTGTTACGGAACAGATTTAAAGAGGCATTCTCTAGTTTCACTTCTCAACTAAATTTACCCAGTGTTTTTACTGATTTATATTATGCTTCTAAACGTTTGAGAAATAATTCATCAATGTATTGCATCAAACTTATAAGAGTTCTACATTAAATGTAATACTTATCATTTCTTTTTGTTCAAGCTTTTTCAACTTACCTAAAACACTGTACTTCATCCTATTGATTCATCTTTGTTCATTGAAAACAAATTAGAATTCAGTTTAGATAAAGTAATCTACCATAAACGACTAGAGAATGTTACGTTTTGTCATGACAATAATTAATCCATATGCTAAATCATCATCATGATTAAAAGAAAAGCAAATTTCTATTAAAATTTAGCGAATAAATATAATATATGACTTAATACTTAATCAATGAAAGTGTCTGAGTAAGATGACATAACTACTAAAAGAGAGCATCATATCTATATTTCATGTTACCGAATAAAATGGACTTTATATTGTAAGTCCAATTAAGGTTATACATTTGATTATGTATGACCAAGATTCAATGAAACATTCATCTATTTATCAAATTTACTTAATTATGTTTGTTTAAATTATTAGATATAAATAATTTGATTGCATATTTCAGTAGTTTGCTATATATAAGGCAAATTGACATTCCATCTATATCCAATTTAGAAAGCTTTTCCCTATCTGTATTCTGATATTGTTTAGTATGTTACTAAGATTAAATACAATTAAATAAATTCTAATTTTCGGCTTAAACTTGTTATGTTTATCAGGCGTTTTCGATAATACTTTAATTTAGCCATAGAAGTGGCCAACTGGTGTAATACTATTTCGACACGTTCAACAACTACATTATAATATCTAGAATATATAAACGACTTACCGATGAATAATCCGTATTATCGAATAGATTTCTATCTATACTAAAACAAATTGCTTCATTCAATGCTTTAACTCAAATTAGTTAACTGACTTTCTTATAGCTTTTATCAACGATTTAAAACAATTTGACTTTCTGCTGATCTGACTACATTTCAACTCAGGACGTGCATTTCAGATTAAAACTTGAAGCATGATTCTAGTTTATGCTTCTTTTTACTTAACTGTACAAATATACTTTATAAATCAAATCCCTTTCAGTGAAATTTTATTGAATGAGACATAAATCGATTATTAGAAAATAATGATAAGTCAGTGGTATTAAATCAATTAGAAGAAAATCTAATAAAGCTAAGATCAAGTTGATAACCCTTTTTAAGCTATTGATATATGTATATCGTTGTGATAATGGATACATCTTTCTACATTACATAGATAAAAAACCGATCACAAACAATGGTGAACCAATTGTTATAGGTAAACAAACTACTATTAAACTAAAGCTTGTACCACAAAAAGAGGATAATGGTGCTGAATATCAGTAAGTTTTATTACATTAAGTTTATACTTACTTTTATCATTCGAATCCCGAATAATCAATGCAATTTTTCACAAATCTTTTTTTCATTTGAAATTCATAATTAGTTTATATGATAAGTTAACTTCATTATTAGTTGGAAAACATCTTATAACTACTAGTGTTACTATTACATGGTAACTATTTTAATGAATATCAGAATTCTATAGCCGGATTATTATTACTCCCATAATTATAGATAGCATATACTATCAATATATATTTACATTATGCATACAATAGTTCACTATTCTTATTCAACTTCTAGACATTAACAACTGAAAAAACATGATCATTCTATTCAATTATTTTATAGATTTGAGCCGAAGCTTTCTAAAATATTTAGTTTTTCTTTTTAGAAAATGTACTTATATCTGGGGTTATCACTTAATTTACAAATAACCATTTCACTATAATATTATAGGTAATATACATACAATAGGTGTTAACAACGACAAATTAATCATACAACTACAAAGAACATATTTTGTATACTAAATCCCAGAATTCCAATATATGATGAATTTTCATTGGTTGAAATGATGAAGCTAGATCACCATGGAAAACCTGGAAGCACTGAACGGCTGTTTCGTTCTCCACAAAACCCATTCTGATAATAATAATCACCTGCTCACTAGTGATTGACTTCAGGAGATAATCCTGTAGTTCTAGTGAAAAGTCATTACCAGTGGAGTTCAACCAGGTCTGTTGTGAGATAAGAACTCCTTGAAGAGAATCGTGTACGGTGGAGCAACCTCGTGGATTGGTTGAAGTTAGACATTAGTATCCTTGGATTCCCGGCTCACTGGTCTGGTTGGTTAAGCGCCTGGCGCGACACTGATAGGTCCTAGGTTCTAATCTCGCGGGGGCGGGTTCGTGGATACACACTGTCGAGGAGTCCCATACTAGGACGAAACGGTCATCCAGTGCATCCAGGTTTTTTGTGACGGTCTAGTTTCGATTGACTCATAATTTCAACTAGTGAAATTTCTAAAAATCTCCACAAAACCCATTCTGATAATATAATGAATTGTTTATTGCATCAAAAGAAAATAAAGATAACAACATACACATTCATAATTCCATCAAAATCAACCACCTGAGCTACAAATCCTCTCCACCACTATTGTATTTCTCTATTTAGACATTCCGACTACATACTTTATTTATTATCTCATTTTTTTAACTAATTTTATTCAAAATCAATCTTTATTGCCTAAACCTATCCATTATTAATCTTATAAAGCCTTAATATAATTGTTGGCCTCTTATTTTCTTTTGTTTCTTCGTCGCAAATGTCTATGAGGAAAAAAAAAACAAAACAAAAATAAAGAATTAAAGCGGATTTTTTTCTCATGTTTAATACTAGTTCTATACTAGTTATTATTTTTTTATTAATTATTATGATTATGATTGTACGCTATTGTTGTTTTGCTTTATGATTTCCGTTTTCTTTCAGTTAATTTTAGTTATGTTACGCTTTTATCATAAAACACATAGTAACTAAAGCCGGTACATGATTCTGTTAAGTTTGTTTTATTTATTACGTTTATTTATTTATTTATTTATTTATCGGTTTGTCTAGAACTTTTGATTGTATTGAACAATAAGACTAAATTTTTTTCTTGTAACGAAAGAAAGCTCATTTACAATTAGAATAAGAATTACATTGAAAGTTCTAGTTTTTTAAAAAAAGCTAAAATTTCAATCCTATTCAACCTAATTTTATTATTATTATTATAACTATTGTTTTCAATTGGTTAACACTACTACTGACAAGTACTTCTGTGTGCTAGTCATAATTAAATGAAGTATGTTTTCTTATACTGTTGTAATATGTTAAAAGAACTCATTTTTGTTTATTAAGATTAAATAGATTTTGATATGATTAGTAACAAACAGTATTATTATCATTAAAGTCTCTATGGTAAATAAGATTGAACATTGAATAAAACTCTTAATAAATACATAAAGTTTTACTTATTTTCTTTAAATATACCTACATACCTAAATGTCTGAAATGTACTAACTCAAAGAACTTTACTATCTATACTTAGATTGATGAATAAATTATATAGTTGACTAAGTAGATCTTTTATATAGAAGTATTTATAACAACTTTAGACATTATTATGGTATAATTAGTTAATGATACATACAATATCAGTAATATATATTTCCGTTCTTTATGGTTATTAGATATAATCTGAATCAATGTAAATTGACACCAGTAAACTAATTACAGTTTATAATCATTAAATATATATATATATATATATATATATATATATATATATATCAACAACTTTTATGGCTAAATGAACATTTGTATAAAACAATTGATTCTATCAATGAAATGATATTAGCTTCGGATTAAAACAAAAACATTCTGCCAAGTTTATTACTGAACACTATTTTGGACATTGATATATTCTTGATAAATTATTCTTATTTTCATTTAATTGGGAATAAAAAGCTGGTATTTGATGTTTCTTTGTTGTAAAACATGTCACTAATAAGCTCATAAGACATTTAAATTCCTTAGTGACTACTTATCTAGTGATGAAAAATATCATACTTTAATTTACTTGTTGATTAAACTTTCTCTAATGTTAAGACAATAAAGATGAATGTAGAATTACATCACATCGATATTGTATTTCATGGTGTAATTAATTGCCGCACAACAACAAAACCAAATGAATAAACTCGATCATCTTTGACAATAATACAACAATAAAATTTATGAAAACTACCGTAACCTTTAACTAGTCACCCTAAACCAGAGTCTCTTGACATATATATATATATATATATATATATATATATATATATATATATATTAGGAATAGATTTGTTTCGAACAGAAGTACGAAATTCATTTAACATATTACAAAGTACATAACCTTGAATTGAATAATTCTCATTTCGCATATCCCTTAAAACCAAATAAAAGAACATTTCTAGTAAAATAATACTTAATATTCAATTTTCATTCTATTGCATATTATTCGAAATGATCTTTTATAGAGTTTAAATTTGATACTAAATTCTTTCATGATACTTCTCTTCAAAATTGGACACTTTTAATGAAATTCCATCTGATTGAATATGCAGTAAATTATATCTGTTGAATAAAATGATGATCATAAAACAATAGGATTATTCATAACGACTAACAAACAGAAAAAAAATGAGTCATTCAGTTTGGTTATGAACTTATAAATGGTACTTATATCAGTATAAAGTATAATCATACAATAAATTTTAGGGAGTACAAGTATAGGAAATATATATTTGATGTAACACTGTATTTTATTTGCCTACTGTATGCCAATACACACAAACATGAAACACATATCATACTAATTTTTATCCATTTATTTTTATATACTTATTCACAGTTGTTCAGCTCGTAACACTGCAACAAACAATGAATGGATAGATAGTGAAGCTATAATTTTAAATGTTTTATTTCCACCACAACGAGTAAGTTTAAATTTTGGCGGTAAATCGGTAGTTCAAAGTGGTGAACAACTTGAAATCAACTGTCAAGCAGATAGTTCAAATCCAGTTGCTGTTATCACATGGCGTCATTATCAATGTGGACCAGCTCATGCGTTTTATCGACGTCATTTATTACAACAACAACAAAAATTACCAAAATCTAGTAGTAGTACAAATGAAGGGGAAAAGTGTAAATTATTAGAACTAAAAGGTAACATTAATTACTGTCAGTGACTGTATGATCATTTCTATCTCTTCAAACAGTTTTTTTTAAAGGTTTTAATAGAATCACATATAATGCTTATTGAAAGCAGATAAATTCACTGTTGGTTAAATAAATCAACATAATTGCTAAATTTTGAATGGTATATTTTGTGAATAATTTTTTTAATTCCATCATTACAGATACTTAATCAAACAACTCGAATGAAGATGGTTGTGATGTTGTCATTAAAGATATAATTTTACAAAATACATTCAATTGCAGTTAACGAAATTTGACTAAAACAAATGATTCAGTATTTTGGAATGGTGTTTTTGATTTGATAATCCTTAAGAATGAATGTAGTTCTTCATAAAGGATTACTGTTAAGCATTATTATTATTATTATTATTAGCTTTATTCAATATTATAATTTTGGTACAATATAGAATTCTCAGCGCAAAGTATTTCAACAAGTTTCCGTTTCTTTCTTCTTGGTCGGTCCTGGCGATAAATATTGAGGAATCGCCAGTTAGATGTTAGCACGTCAGTGAATGAACAACTGAATAATGTACATTCTTTTCGTTGTACATTGCCAGCAACCATATTGTCTCTTATTGAGTTTTCTGTAACTTTGACATCGAAAGGTTGTACACTTTTCAGAAACGCAGCAGAATAGGTTATGCGATTAATAAACATAATGATATATTAAAACAAACAACAATAGATAACTTGTTGAAATATCTAGATGGCAGGAACAGGTAGCCCAGATGCTCAAGCAGGCCGCCCTTATTTATTACTGAAGGCATTAAACAGTACAACGATATAGCACTGTTCAATATTCATTGAAACTTGTTATGACTTATGCTATTGGTAAATATATGTTAGTGACAGGATTTTATTAATATCAGGCATAAAAATTCTAAATTATTCTAGACGTTATTACTGGTCATTTTCTCTTTATTATGAAACTTGCGAAATTTCTAAAAGACTTCGCACTCATCTTTAATGTATGGAGACATAGATTCCACTTTACTAATTATGCGTTACAAGACAATAACGCTTCAACCATATTTGCTTTATTTCATACAAGTGAACAAAAAGAGTAGATACGTCATCTACAAGATTATATCACAACTGTCTAAAGAAAAGAAAATGTGTTTCAATAACAAATAAAACAGTTTCTACTTGATGAAGATTTAACGGAAACCAGGGTGCTCTATTTTAACACCCAGATAATAGTGTCTAATTCGTTTACATGACTTATTCTACCCATCGTAATATAATTATTATGGACTTATAACTACAGAGTCTGATAAAGAAGTCATCGAAGACAATTATTCATTTCCAAATTGTTCGTTCCTAAATACACTATGTGGTCTTAAATTATATCTTGTGAACACAGTTTGAAGATGATTTTGGAAAACTTAATAACAATGAGGAGACTATAATGGTCAAATCCATTAATTTGCAATTTTGGCTTCTTGTATATGTTTGGCGCAGAAAAGTTAATAAATCAGATAATAAGAGAACAACTCAAAAAATAGGCCTTTACTAGTGATCAGAATTTAGAATTATCCTTTTGGGTACGCAAGTATAATTAACCGAAAATATATACAGCTGTCTAAATCTTAAAATACAATTTTGGAAGCTAAATGTTTATCCTTTTTTACTTGGAACTCGTATTTTTTTAATGAATTTCTAGTTACTACAACTTCATAACTTGGTTAAATCCGTTGACGTTCTGAAAACGTCATCTGAGCACGATTTATACATACTGGACCATTGTGTTTATAGACATTGTCTGGTGACTTTTGTTGTGTAGTCCACCATTTAATTGTATGATATGATTTTAAAGATGTTATATGTAATAGCATTCACATATTCTGTGATTGTTTGTAGACGATTTGGATATTCTGTGTTGTAAATAATATCAACCGAACTAAAAATAAAGTTTGATTTATGATTTATAGTTCTCAGATAATAGAAATCCAATGATTATCTTTCGAACTAGGTTCCGATGAAACACCTATTCCTGGAGCATCCGGCGGTTTATTAGCCAGAAGTCATTTATGGTTACGTCCAACTTGGAGATATCATATGGACTTTATCGAATGCCAAGCGGAGAATCCAGTTTATGGTCCACCTATTTGGCATGATAGACTTCAATTAAATATCACATTTGCACCACAATTCTATGGGCTTCAAGTAGGTGATCACCGAGTAATACGAGAAGGTAAGTGATAATTTTATAAGAAAAAGTTATATGTAACGAACTTCAATGTCTTATTCTAAATTGATTCAGTCATATATCATTGAGTTGACAAAACTTATTTTATCCACTTGTTTTGATTATGGAACATTTATCTTCACATATAACTTCCTTTTAAATATATTATTTGGTGAGACTATAATTTATGGAAGACCTTTGAGCGGCGTTAGAATCACCTTGAAGCTGTCCATTTAATAACCAGGACCAAATGAGGACTATAAACCAGTGTAAGGAATTACAATTATGATTTACAGTTGATGGTTAAGGTTAAGAATTAGATCCAGGGTTTTCATCATGAACTGACATCAGCTATGATGCCAAAACTCTATCTAGCCAAATGGATGAGTGAATGTCGTGCCAAAATCCGAAACCTATTATCTTATATCTGATTGGTTCGTCCATTTCATTTTTATAACTCAGCATAATTATTGTATTTCAAAAATAAAGAACATTTAAGTTGATAGTTGTTTTCAATAAATCTGTCATCAAACTCTATAATTTGTGAATATTATTTTTGCCAAAACAACCACTATATTCCCTATTAACAATGATTATAGCTTTACTTCTCACTAACTTTCAAACACAATTAATGAATTTCTAATGACTTAAAATGTTCAACCTTGTTGCCAGTGAAAGAAATATCACAAATGACAATGGACTATGGTCTCTCACCATTGGAGAACAACTAATATCAAAAAGGTTGACGACCGTATTTTGACTCAGTAGTCTGAATTGTGAGTGTTGAACATGAGATCTGAACCTTCCGAGTTCAGTTACTAGAAGTTAGAGGATTTGTACTGCTTACAGTATCATGCTAAGATCAAGCATCTGCTCAGTATCCTAATTTTTAATAGTTGTCTTGCTGAAGTCAGTCAGTGATCAGAACTATCTAAATATTCCATTACGAAAGCCAGTACATTAGAATATAAATATGAAATTGATTAGTACTGAAGATTAAGAATAATGAATCTCACTGCAATTACTTCATAAATAATTACAATCTGAGTTATCAGTTTGAGTTTTCTGTAAGAAAAGGTTGAGGAAGATTCACTATATAGTGGTGTGCTACTACAAATAGAGTTAAATAATGTTAACGAAATATGAAAAATGACATTCCGTTTGTCGTGATTATTACTAGTGATATTAATATCATACCATTCAGTATACAATTAAGAATTTATTATGGTTAAGGCTAGGCCAAGGAACCATTACACTAAATATTTTATATAAATGAATAAATAACATTTTTTATACAATCCTAGTGTAGGACTTAGTGACTGTTTAATTACAGTCCTTATCATAGATAGCTGCGTGACAAAGGAACTTGTATTACTTTGTTGCATCATTTAAAATAACTGAACGAAGCTATGACTTCAGCTGATTTCCATACAATGATCCGTAAATGGATGTGTGTATTTTAGTGATGATTCAACTGAACTGGTAAAACATTTCCAAACTGAACAGTTTTGGATCATTCATTAAATAGTATTGTGATTAATTAGACAAACTAAAACAATATCACTCTACAATTTCTAATAAACGAACATCAAAATATCATATCTTAATGGGGAGGGTATGTGACGATTTTCAAAATTTTTGGTTTACATCGTGAAATAAACCTACTCAAACAACCAGGCAAATCCAAGAATCTTTGGACCGTTGTTTCGTTCTAGTATAGAACTCATCAGTGCACAACCACTACCCTATACAAGTTCGGATCTTGAACTTTCAGGTCTTCCTGTTAGAGCTTAATCTAGAGATCTCTGAACCGTCATCCAATGGTTTACATGGAAATTTTTAATCAATTCGTAATATACCGACAAATTATGTCGCTAGCTCTACTTGGTTGCCATGGTGATGAATTCAAAAACTTGTTTCTGATATATATTTTTGTTGTCACACTGAACATTATTAGGAAGAAAAATCCATTTTAGACCTTTTTATTGTATAAAATTCTAAAATGAGCTAATATAAGATAACTAATACTAGTGATTATTGATAATGATAAATGCAAATTCATATACAACTGTAGTACATAAATATTCCTTTAACATTATGTAACACTCTATGTAACGTAGAAATAGTATTCTAATCAAGCTTTTCAAGTAAAATAAATCTATCTCTAAGAAAAATCATTTACATTGACATTGTTTTATTTTTCTAGAAAGTAAAGTAATCCGATTGAATAGTGAAAGAGACTTGAATTGATTATTCACTTTCTTCTTATCCTTTAAAATAGTTTGTTGCTAAAGTCAATTTTAACATTGACATATTGAAGAAAATTAATTTACTTAAGATTTACTTCAATGATGTAATTCATTCATCTAATATATCATAAATCATAACGATGAATAATAATGATGGTATTCTTAAATAAAATGAAGAAACTATTAGAAACTATTAAACATTTCCCAGTATTGAATAATAAGTTGCCTAATAGTTTTAGAAGTAATAGTAATGAGTAATTTATAAAGTAAATATAAAGGGTAATTGTTGATTTGATTGATTGAATGATAAAAATTAAGAATATAGCATGAACTTCTGATTAAATTGGAGGGGATCTCAAGATAATGGTATAGTAGTAAAATAGGAGAGATACTTTTCGTAGACATGTAATTACTGTAGTTTGAACCATTCGAACATTACTAATCTAAGCAAAGACAGATGGTGATTATCAATGGAATCCAGAACAAACGTTTTGCGTCATCAACTAGATGTACTTGCATCTCAGAGTTGATGTTTTCTCTGTTCACTCTGTCATATTATCGTGATCACTACGATGGTAATTCCCATGATAATCTTACATGAATCTGAAAATTATTTAAAATTAAATATCAACAAATGATTGTTGCTTCCTTTCTTGATATTCATTATAACATTCATAAAAGCATCTCTGAAAATAGTTTGAAAATTATATAACAATTATAAAGAATGTAAGTTTCTATAAATCTTTCATTAACATTTTTTTTTCTCTGGTCATATACATTTCCAGTCATTTCAAACCATTTACAAAATATTGATCAATAGTTTCTAGGCTTTAATAAAAATGTTTTCTTAAATCACCCCCATCACCTATTAAGTGAAATTTCACTCATCTTATTTAAAATCTGCACTTCTAGTTTATGATTTCCTGTTTCTAACCTATAGTTAATGAATTCAATTTGATTTCTTTGCTACATTTTATTTAGAACTTCCTTAATTTGTAAAATTATCTCCATGTTAGTTTACAATTTACATAAAACATTAAATATACTAAACATTATGTGCATGTATATCATCATCAATGAACAAAAGAAGTAATTCCACCAACAACAACAAAAAAAGATCCTATGAAAAACTTAGTTGGAAACATATTTTCTTGAGAAAATAAAAACAATTTAGGTTTTAAAATTCCTCTGAAACTTTTACAATTGATTGTAAGAGAAAAATCAATCATTTTATAACTAATGCATTAAACAATTGTTTATTTACAAAATTCTCAAGTATTTACTTAATTATTTTGAATTTTGTTAGTCGAATTTATGAATCACTCGAAGCTAGATCACTTGAAAAACCTCACTCAAGAACAGTTGATTTCTAGACTGATAGGTTCTGGGTTGGAATTGTGGATGCGCACAGCTGATGAGTTCTACAATAGGACGAAACAGTCGTCCAGTGCTTCCAGATTTTACATGGTGGTCTAGCTTTAATTGACTCATGATCTCAACTATTAAAATTATTTAATAGTCAATACTAGTATCACGAATAATTCATATGTTCGCTTAAATAAATAATCAATCATTATGACACAATGTAGAATATATATATGTTAATCTATTAAGTCCTGATTTATTGATTTTGGCTTATTTCAACTGAAGTTTCCCTTGAAAAAGAAAGATAAATAGAACATAAACATGAATGATTCTTTTCTGTATTTTATAAAATCTAACTTAATCAATTAGACAATGAAATTTTCTTCTCCATTGTATTAGTTGTTTGTTGTTTATTTTTTTTTTGTTAAAATAAAAGTAAATAGATACTTTTCACAGTTTAAATGGGGTAACAAAATTATTTATGTAACTATAACTACAAGTCGATTTTTTGTCCTTTTTTTGTTTTTCGCTTGCAACTCATTGGCCTTTACTCTAATAACAATAATAATAATAATAACAGTAATAATAGTAGTCATTATCATGTAAATTGTCTTCTTAAGGATTGTATTTAGTGTTTCTTAATGTCACGTGTAAATAAGAAGATGGTTTTTTAAATACATGAACAATAAATTCACTTAGATAAAAATTAAGTTTACTTAGGTTTAAATAATTTGTGGTTAGCGTTTTTTTAGCGAGTTAGTTTTCTACGGGATGGGGTCGCCAACCTTATGTCCAACCCTCCTCCTTTATCTGGGCTTGGGACCGACAGTAGCCCACGCAGGGACTCCAGGCGGAGTTAAGAATTAAAATTAATAAAATAATATTTCTTTCTAGAAAAATAAATTATTATCTGCCTACTATATTGGTTATTAGATGAGTCATTCCAACTTATTATATATATTTGTTCACTTTTAGATTATGTATTAGTATAAATGAATATTGATGAAAGAGATTTTAATGTTGAATAGTTGAAAGATATGTGATGCGTTGACTTTGTAATTGCCTTCTTTCATCTGTAACTGTTGTTTAGATTCATAAGGAAAAGAATGTTTTTTTCAGAATTTGAAACTTATATCATGCTACACAGAGAATGGATGAATTATTAGTCACATAGCCGAAACATTATTAACTCTTTCATATATGGTGATAGTTTATCGAGTGATAAATGTAGTCGTCTGCAAATGTGGCATTTGAAAAGTACCATATGCTACTGAGTATAAACTTAGTGAGGCGTGCGGACTATCATTGGTTTGATTTTGAACACTTTTATCAGCGTTGTTTTCCTTAATACTAATCTATAGAGTTAAATATTTAAGTGGTTTGTGGTAAACTGGTTGATTTGAATGTGATTTTTGCTAGAGATTAACATCAGAGAATCATTAAAATGTAAATTATTCTAGATAGTCCTTTGATTCCCGTTTATGACTCCACACCAATGTTTATCCAGTGATTATACTTCACTGAAATAAGTTTTGTATCTTCAGGTCTCTATTGGAGTAAACTATCCTTAATATACGGAATTGACATCTGGACGTCAATAAAGCTCTAATACAGCATAATGTTACTAATATTTCACGTTATTTAACCTAAACTATATGATCCAATGGAAAATGTGAACTTTGTAACCATAAATTTTCAGTATATTTACATTCAACGATGTAACACATTTTATCGACTTCACTAATTGTTTACAGTTTTTAACATTTCATAGGTGTGAATAAAAATCCACTGATCTTAAACTTCATAAACATTTTATGTTGCTTTATATAACAAACACTTATTACGATGGCGAACTTTCTGTTTGATTGTTTTATTTTCACAACTGAATTCACTAGTCAACTTAAGCTAGACCACCATTGAAAACCAAGTATCTATACTAAGATGAAACGACCATCCAGTGCTTCCACGTTTTCAATTGTGGTCTAGCTTAAATCGACTCATCAATTCAATTGTAAAAATAAAACATTCTCTACAAATTCACATATCGTTCGTTTTATGTTTAGCTAGACCATATAGGTTTTTGAATTCCATCCATTATATGAAGTTAATTGAGGATTCGTTCACTATTCTTATTCTTTTTGGAAAAAATTCATCAATAAGATGATACAGCACTTGATTCTCTGGGAAAAAACAAGCATAAGAATATATTCTACAATATTTACTTGATATATCAATTGATTATAAAAACAGTCAACCAATAATACATTCAAATAGTAGAAACCTGGTATAAACAAGATATTAACTCGAGTTTTGTGATTTTTCATAAGTATGAAACAAACAATGATTACAATATGTTTTTCTTAGTTACCATTCAAGAGACTATCTAGACAGAATAGTAAAACTTTGGATGTGGTCTAAGATATAGGTGACTAGCAGTTATCTGACACAGAAATCTAGTATCATATTGAAGTCATTCTAATTAAATTGAAAAGTCAAAACATGGTACAAAATATCCGAAGACTATATTTCATCCAGAGGATTAAATTCCAGATAGTGAAGTTAAATTACAATAAGAAAATAATTAAATAAAGCTGAAAAGCATCTATAATTAATGACTTGTAGTAAAGAAATTTGGATAGAATGGTTAGAATAATATAACATTTAGCTTTTTTTTCCGAAAATAACATTTCACCTAGACGTAATACTTGTATAACAAACCTTGTTTTAGTATTATGAATAACATTACAATACTGTCTAAAATCTCAGCATATAGACGGAAGTGGACTTCCTGTAGTCTAATTCGCAAAACAATGAAAATGACAGGTAAACAAACTCTTATTTATCAGTAATACAGCTACTACTGAATGCTCTTAACAGTTAGATTGACGTGACAAGTTTTGACTTGCTTCAATTTACTTCATATACAATTGGATTAAAATGACATAGATAAGATTATGGTTTTAAGTTAACATAAGATATAACACAGAATGTGTTAAAATAGGTCCAGCTTGAAACTGAAGTATTATAAGAATGGAAATATAGAATTTCGATTAAGAAAGAGGAATACTGGGTTAAAACAACAGACAAATCTCAATGAATATACGATTATCAGAATGGGTTTTGTGGAGATTTTTGTAGAAATTTCACAGGTTGAAATCATGAGTCAATTGAAGCTAGACCACCATGGAAAGCCTGGTCTAGTTTCAATTGACTCATGATTTCAACCAGTGGAATATACGATTGTCTTAGACAAGTTAAAGACTTTTCAATACTATGAAAATTGAAATATCACTTCGAGTTTATCTATTTTTAACAAACTATTTTCTTTCTGTCATTTAGTTTATTCACTTCATTTGATTAAATAACATTTAGAGACTATAGTTTTCAGTTTTATCATAAAACATAATTCTGATGTTCTTTAATTTATTGTTTTAGTGTTTAACACACTTTCAAAATTGTAGAAACGGGTATATTAATTGTATTGTAGAAGGTAATGTAAATAGCTGATCTCAGTTTTCCCTTGTCAGCTGCCAATATGAATAAAAAACGTATAATATTACCAAAGATTCACCAATGATTCATACTTAATGCAACATCTAAACAGAACGTTTGTCAAACAACTTAATTTATCTAAACCATCTGTTTGTGTAGCAATGAACTTACTGGGCAATACATTTCTCAGATCTCCAGTAGAATTCTATAACTCACATAGTTAATTTCCTGGATTAAAAATATATAGATAACTGATAATAGTCAAGATAACTTGAAGTTACGTAATCTGGTTACTTTTATCATAATGAAATAACTCAATGCTCAATTACTTATCACAAAATTTATTGGATCTTATAAAATGTCAAAGATCAAAATTAACAATTCATGAAAAATTAAACAATAAAGAGAAGATAAGAGTTCTATAATGAGATGAAACGGCCGTCCAGTGCCTTCAGGTTTTCCATGGTGGTCTAGCTTCAATTGAATCATGACCTCAACCATTGAAATTAATAATAATAGTTTAATTTTTATATCATACAAATTGAAACAGCAAAATTGTTTACAAAGTGAATTATAATTGACAATCGTAACGATTGCTTTATATCACAGTATAACTGGCAACATTAAGATATTGATAAATTACATGTTTGGGTTATAATAATGATCTAAATTTCACAATATAAGTAATCAGTTATTGTTGATAAATTATTTGAAAATGGTGTTTTCTTTTTCAGGTGAAACGACTCATCTAGACTTTGGATTATATGCAAATCCTCCAGTTACATCTGTTTCATGGTTTCGTAATGATCAGTTACTTCCATTTGAACCTAAAGAAACTGATACATGGCAAGGTGTTTTTGCAGCTGGTTCTGTTGGAGAACTACTTTCATTACATAAAATTAATCGAGAAAATATGGGCAATTATACAGTGGTAGTTTCTAATTCACAACATGAATCACGAAATACATTTTTTCTTAATGTTACGTGTGAGTTGTTAGTTTCATTAAAAATAGAAGATTCTTCTTATTGCTATAAACGACCATACGCTTAGAATGTCATTTTATTTTTTAACTAAAGTTAAAGATTGGATACATTTGTCTATTACTACTGTGCAGTATTACCACTAGTGAATAAACGGCTGTGATTGGAAAAATCACATGAATACATAGAGTTCAGTCTTTGAATAAAAGCTTTTAATACTATTCTGTACAATGAGTTCCGAAATCCGTTATAATAGAAAGAGCATGGTAAGGAATTTACCTGAGTTTCAGCAAAATGTTTCACAGTTTTTATGGCTGCGAGAAACGTTTAAACGACTATATCTAAATAATGGAAATCTCCATATATTTTATTGATTGTAGCAAACTATATCTAAATTCAAACTGTCTTGTATAACGTTGTTGCCTGAAGAGTTCTCATATCTTAATCAGACATTTTAAACGTATCATTCACATATCATGTACTTCCACATAAACATGTCAATAATGACAATGAAAGCTCCACAATTAACGCATTGATCTCGGACAAATCAACATCACTAATAACAAAAACAAAATGTCCTGTATATATCTGCACATCAACAGTCTTTATATCTGAGTCGTTTGCACTATCACGTAGAATGAATCATGTAGGTGTTTGAAATGACATCTAACCAATTTTAAGGTTTCAATCTATTAAAATCTCTTATAACTCTGAGAATATTATTCCCAATTAATAGAGTTTATATTTTTGACATCATTACAGTTATAACTTGTTTTAGACACAAATTTTCTATTTTCTCTTCATATTCTTTTCTCTTAAAATAATTAAAACTAGATCCAGCAAGTATTGTTGGTAAACTTGAAGAGAACATAACACAAACGACTAAAGACTATGCTGCTTTAGATTGTAAAGCTGATGCGAATCCGGCTATACCTGATAGAACATTTAAATGGTATCGTTACTTTCCACCTAAGGGCTGGACAGAAGAAGTAGATGAGGGGGCATTACAACTGAGTGAACCAATTTATTGTAATCAAGTACGTAACTTTTTTTCGTTTTTTTGTGTTAATCGTCCACTAATTAAAGAATGTTGGTAAATTCGTCAAATGGATTAGAGTTATACAGTTTTTAAAGTATGGGTTAGTCCTAATAAGCATACTGCTGCTCTGTTTGATATTTCTCATTTTAATAGCTACAATATACTGAGTTGATTACTCTGCACTTAGAATCAACCAACAAATTTACTGACCAGTGATACTAATCTACATTTGTTAATGCATTTAAGACCTCTAAATATATGTCTCGTCCTATCATGGAACTCTTCAGCAGTGCGTGACTGCGAGATGTAAATCCAGGAGTTCCAGTGAAAAACCGTGACTAGTGCGGTTTAACCTCGTCGTGCGTGACATTCTAATCTACCATACGTAATAGCAAATGGTTGTATAATATCGCAGATTATTTGGAATTAGACATATTCACCATTGAATTCCGGCTTATTGAACCAAAGATTAGAAGCTCGTAGTGACACTAAAAGTCTATTGCCTAGTCTTCAGTGGATGCACACTGCTAAGAAGTCACACATTAGGATGAATTAAATATCCATTAGTTTCTGGTTTCCATTGATCATTCAATTAGAATCAATGTTTTATGTAATTTATGAAGACTCAATCTCCACAAACTCCTACAATAATAATTATTATTTATTATCTACCGCCTAATCGTAACTTAACATCAATCAAAGTTAATTTCACAAATAAAAAGTTATTTATACAACTTTAAAATGGTGTAATTCCATATGGAATAAGTTTCAGTGAATTTACTTGATTTAATATTTAAAAAACTATCAAATATAACTTCATTTTAGATAACTAGTGTTTAAATGTTAATTTACTTTCCAGTTTTTTTGCTCGATTTTATGAAAAATATTTCTTTTTTTCTCATAAACACACATTTAACATTATTCATAACATTCTATAGAATGAGACGAGATATATTTTAAATATTAAAGTGTAATTGATACCAACAAAACACGGTTGAACTCCACTAGTCACTGCTTCTCACTAGAACTCCAGGAAATCCATCTAGAAGCTAATCACCAGTAAGTATATGATAATTATCAGTATAAAGTCGTGGAGATTGTTGAGTTTAGATTGATATCATGAGTGGATCCATGTTAGAAATAGTGATTAGCCTCAAAACAGATTTCCTAGAGTTCTAATGAGAAGACATGATCAGTGGAGTTCAGCCATGTCTGTTGTGAGGTAGTTACTCACTGAAGATAATGGTGGAAGGTTTCACAATATCGTAGATTTCTGGAAGTTAAACATTAACATCCGTTGGATACCAGCCCAGTGGTCTAGAGGTCAAGCGCTGGTGCACGATAACGAAGGTCTTAGGTTCGAGTCCCGCGTGGGGGGTTCATAAACGTACACTGATTTGTAGTCCCATACTAGTACGAATTGGCCATCCAGTGTTTCCAGCCTTTTTCAATGGTGGTCTAACATTGATCCATTCATGACAACAATCTTCACAATCCTATACTGATAATTATTTTAAAAAATTAGTTTAACCTGATTATCAACTAAAACTACACTAATTTCATTGAACTGTAAGTAAATTCTCAGTCAAGTGATTGTAACATTAATTTTCTAGTTAACATTGTTTCCATTAAATAAATATCATGATTTGTTTGTTTAATCTTTTTATCATTTTAAAATATATGTCAATTTATATTAAATAAAATTCTATTTGACAATAAAAAACTTCTTTTCTGAACAAATTTCCTCCTCCTCCTCCTCCTCCTCCTCCTACTACTACTACTATTACTACCACTACTACTACTATTACTACCACTACTACTTCTATTACTACCACTACTACTACTATTACTACCACTACTACTACTATTACTACCACTACTACTACTATTACTACTACTGCTACTTCTATTACTACTACTACTACTATTACTACTACTGCTACTTCTATTACTACTACTACTACTACTACTACTACTACATACTCAATCACAGTCTTGTGTAGAGATTTTTTCTTAGAAAAAAAAAACGAATAAAATTAATCAGATGTTATTTCTTCATTTTTTTCATCTTTGTTGAGCGGATGTTTCTAAGCAGAAAATTTTCATTTCGGTTTTTTTTAATTTATAAATAACTAAAATGTCCGAAAACTGTCTGTATAATTATTAAGATTGTGGGGTATGTTTTTGAGTTATTGTATGTCGTAATAAAGTGAACACTTGATATTTATATCTCTTCGATTGTTTTAAGGAAGAAACTAAATAAATAAACATGAACTGAGTATTTTATTGAGATTGATAGAGAATCTAATGAAGAAATAAATAATGGTTCATAAAAGTGCATTGTTGTCAAGAGTACTTTAAGCAAATATACTTAGAATATTTAAATGTTAGACAGGCAAAAGTGGTCAACATGAAACTTTTTGACTTAAATTTCATTGTATTTGGTATTCATTATCTGTAATCACAGTGTCACCGATGCATCTCCTGGAATTCAAACTTGAGTTATCCAGCTTCACAATCAGAGACATTATTACTTATTAATAGCTGGTCACTTGGACTAATGGTCAAATTATAACTTAATAGATAAAATTCTATCATTACTAAAGACTAGATAAAATTGTCTAATGTATTAAGATGGCTAATATTAGTTAAGTATTAGACCAGAACCAAACATGTTTGAAAAATTTAACGATGAAAAAGAATATTCAAGTCTAATGTAGATACTTCTTTCAGGATACAGGACGTCAACTTAAGTTTGCTAGTAATCAAGTAACTTACTTTGCTATCGTTTTCAAACAGACGTTGCAATAACATCCATGTAATACATACTTAAAACAGCTTGTAAGTCAGTTTGACAGAATAGTAATTAGGTTGTAAGTTAAGCGAGACAATGGGTGAACTTCTAATAACACCTGTTGTTTATATACATAATACAAAACATTGAAAGATAGAAAATATGGGATGAACACCACATAAACTATTCAGGAAGACTTATAATAATAGCTAAATAAGATAAATTATGGTTTGAAGACGTAGTGGATTGGTATAGTCATTAGTATAATCGAGTCATTTCATAATTTGAATTATTAATGGTCTATAGGACCTTGGGTCTGAGAAGGTAAGATAGAAAGCTAAACATGCTTTTTCTGAAAACGCAGATCTGGTCTTTATAGACATAATAACAATTCCTTCTGCAGTTTGAGCCTAAACACTATTCGGTAGGTTATTACCAACACGAGGAAGGAATACTTAATTCTGGATTTGTGGACGACATAGGATGTGATTAAGTACAACTTAAGTGTATTTACAAATACAAAACACTGACTAATATAAAATGATGTAAAAGATGTACTAACATTATTCAAACTACTTACAACTTAATAGTGAAAGTCATTTGAAGTTAAAGTTAAGTTTCCTATAATAACAATAAATGTTGATATAAATTTGGAGTAAATTAGCTTACTAAACAAACATCAAATTTTCTGCCTGTTGCCTTATCTAATAAATAAAATGTTTTGAACATTCAGCATTAATTACTATCTATAATTATAATGAAATAAATATAATGACAAACTGTCTGTTAATACTTAACGCAAGGAATTTACAGTTAAAATATTCGATTATAATCCATTGATTTGCATATTCCCATTACCCCTTTCTTAACTTGCTACACATAATGTCAGTAGTTCTAACACGAAAATTAGTAATGTAGACAACTGAATTCTGAATTAGCGTAATAAAATCAATTTTTGGGTCGTTAGTGGACACTGTTAAGTAATGATCCAAGACTATTACTAATAGGCTATCTGTTAATACTTTATTTCCAGTAGTTCTTCACTTAATGATGATTCATGATATAAAGTAACTTCAAATAAGAGCAAATATTATTGTAGTTCAAAATCTGATGTATTAAAGCAAGTCTATCTTTCTCAATGTTCATTTTGAATTTTAAACAAAACTTCGTTTACTTATCAAAGGTTATTTTCCTGATTACTGATGGATTTAAATCTGGAAGCACTGGACGGCCAATTCGTCCTATTGTGGGATTCCTCAGCAGTGCGCATCCACGATACCGCCTCGCGAGCTCCGAACCCAGGACTTCCGGTCTCTTGCGCGAACACAATGGTGGTCTAGCTTCAATTGACTCATGATCTCAACTATTGAAATTACTATAATATCCACAAAAACCCTTTCTGACAAAAGTATTAGTTCAGAACATTTGCTCGAAGACATATTGAACATGCTTTCATGATTACAGAATAAAAATTATTTCTTAGAGGCCCTACGTTTGAATTATCAACAGTTACGAATTCATTTAAATTCGGTGCATGAATCATTTAATCGATTGTTTGTGTAGTATAATCGTACATGTCTAGCAGTAAACGTAATCTTTTTATTTATTTGATTTTCTCCAGTCTCAGGTTGACAAACCAAAAATGCTTGCTCAGTGTTTTCAACAAGATAAGTTTCAAATCTCTAGTACATTTTACATCTATCAACTTACAGAAGATGATGTCGGTAAATATGTTTGCGAGGTCAGTAATGGAATAGGTGAACCAGTGAAGAAGACATTTAATCTTTTGTATCATTGTAAGTTTTTCATGAATTTTCACAAAAACTGACTTAACAAAGTAATGAGTTAACAAAAACTGACCACTGATTATTCTTTTCAATATTGGTTAAGTTCTGCTGATTGACTTTCATTGTAACTAATATTGAGTCATGGTTTGAAGTTATGTACTTTGAGACAATCTGTAAAAGTTCGACTCCTAAGGGTGATAACAGTTCATTCAATGTTGAAGGAACTCCTTGCTCTGAAGTAGCACCATGATCACGGCTTCTTACTGGGACTCTGAGAATTACTTTTCGAAGCTAGTCACCAATGAGTACATGATAAATATCAAAATATGGTCAACGCGATATCCGTAGGTCCTGGGTTCAAGTCCCGTGTGAGGGGTCGTAAGTGCTCACTACCTGGAAGTCCCATATTAGGATGAAATGAACGTTTGGTGCTTCCAGCCTTTCAATAGTGGTCTAACATTGATCTATTCATGATCTCAATTAAAACTCAACAATCTCCGCATCCCTATATTGAAAGCTATTAGGTTATGCTACTCCACTCTTCAGATCTACAACAAACTATAAGATTTTAGTTGTTCAAGAAATGTTTTCATAGTAAGAACCCCTTTTCTAAATATTTGACAAGATATCGAAATTTAGGCACTTTAGTATTTATGGGTTGTACCGACACCAAGGCACACTTTAGCCTATATATATATATATATATATATATATATATATATATATATACAACACAAAGTGAATGTAAAACGACATTATGTTTTAATGATAAATCAAGAATTGTAATTTTGATTTCTTTTATTAAGCCATATTTATATTTTAGTAGAAAAATTTCATAAATCTGTTTTCTTTTTCAATTTCACATTATTTAATTCCATAACATTACAGTTCCTCCAAAAATAATTCAATTGCCTCGATATACAAAAGCAGCTGGTGAACAAAGTTCCAAAGTATGGTTAACATGTTACATTCGTACAGAACCAACTCCACAAATTGCTTGGCTCAAAGATAATAAATTAATCCCAATGGATGCGTTAATTCAAAGTAAAACTACAGATAGTAAAAATGGAATGAAAAAATATGAAAATTTTTTAACTCATATACGTCCTGGATTATATAAAGCTCAGTTAGCTGTTAATGATATTAGAAAATATGACTTTGGTTCCTATAGTTGTCAGGTTTGTTTAATTGTTTAATATTTTTTTGAACAAAAAAAATAAATTTTTAAAGTAAATAATCTACTCTAATCCTGTGTATTTGGATGGTAACTAGATATCTCAGATGCTTCAAGCGATAACTTTTTTTTAAAAATGTGTATATGTACAAAATTAACTTAAATGGTGTTATTTTAGACTTATTTGCATACATTTACTGTAGCATTTATCACGCTTTTGCATCTCTCAACTTCTACAAACTTCAAAAATTGATTTTTCGTTAAACTGATGCCAACTAATAAATCACTGTAAGGTAAAAAAACAATGAACAGTGTCTTAATCCGAAAGTCGTTAACACAACACTTTCACTACTTCATATAAAATCAAATAAAGGAATTTTATAACTTTAGGCAGTCAACTAATAGCTTATTATTTATCTGGGGTCAATGACTTTCTTCAAAACTAATTCTAATGAGAAAGTATAATCTGTGACATTCGACTATATCAGGAACGAGGTTGTTATCACCGATTGCATTGTATGATCACCGTGTAATATCGTAAAACGAATAACATCGAAAGTTTAGATATTTCTATCCTCATTTGATTTAAAAAATAATACATGTTCAGAAATGGGTTTCAACCAAATAATTGATGGCAAATAAAATTGCGTTAATAGGGGAATATGCTATTCAAAATAATGAATTTTACAAAACCCTCAAATATTCGTGTTGACAGCACATGTAAACGACAGCGGACATATTCTCATATGACTAGAAATATTCGTAGTATGGGATGTGGTTACTTTGTCTACTGAACAAAATACTATCCAACGGTGTTTAGCTTATGAATAATGGAACTCCAGTAAGCGGTGAAATCATATTGTTATTAAGCCCAAACTATTTTATACGTATGTATGATCCTAAAATATCACTTACTTGGAGCTTCTATAATTTGTAAAACCCGACGTATCTATGTCCTTCATTCAGTTGCCGCACATATACCTATGGTTTCTTTCCTAAAATAAGTTCATACCTACAAAATTATGGACTACGTTGCTTGTTTTAATTACTGTGAAGTACATTGTTGTGAAAAATTTTTATCACAGAGTTACATTTTGAGGAGCCATTAGAAACCAAAAGTCATTGAATATCTATATTTTCCTTGTATGGTAGGACAATAAATTATACCATTCTGTGTCGTAAACCATTTTCAACCAAAACTAACTTTTAGAAACATCTCAATAAAAGTAAACTGGCCTGCTCAAATACTTACAGTCAGTTATGAAATCTAAAAGCATCATCTTATTGATTTTCAGTTAAAACCGATTAATCAGATTCAGTATAGTACAAAAGTACTTTACTGTATTTTATTGTTTATAATAATGAGGAGTATGACGGTTTACATTCAGTATGACGGCATTTTTAGATGAGCTAAAAAACACAAAGCCTTTTGATTGAAACGTCAATTATCCTTTTCAAAATTCAAAATTCGTACCCAAAATATATCATTGGACAAGACTCGAATCGAATAGTTTTTTGTCATACATTACAATAGCTCGATTTAATTATGTTATTAGAAATTATTAGTGAAATTTTCCCTTTTAGGCTGCTAACTTACAAGGTGAAGCTCAACTAGGAATTCATTTGTCTGGAACATCCACCCCAGATGTACCGATAAATTTTCGTCTTCTAAATGCAACCTCATCAACTTTGCATGTTGCCTGGACTCAAGGTTTTGATGGTGGATTGGCACAAACTTTTCAGGTTTGTCTTTTGGGTTTTAGAAAATCTTAAATTAAGGCATTCGATAAAGTATTATATAAATTCGGAACTCTAAGATAGTGTCCTAAAAGCAGTGTTTCCGAAACGTTGTCCAATGTAGTGATAATAACCAGAGATTAAATTAATTACTGCCTTTAAGTACATGCTAATTAGAGATATTCAGTATGACTTCTCAGCACTGCTGCAAATGATTATTATCATTGGAAGGAAAATCAACTTCACAGTTTGACTACAAATCTTTTGACTTTTTCTTCCATAAGGATCATGGCAAGTAAGTCTTATCATTCATCTGTACTTGGTTAAATAACAAAACGTCATCATATATATACATATATATTTGATTTCGATGATCAAATAATGGAATACTTTAGAATCAGGTGGAATCAAACAAGAGGTCATGCATACAACTTATCTCATCTATAAACCTCCTTGTGAACCTAGTTTATGAAGATGAAGTCAATATAGTAAAAGAATGAAAGCAACCTTGGTGTTACTGAGCAGGAAGATGAACATATATACTGGGTAGACGAATCAGAAACATTAATACGTATAACACATATAACTGACATACATTTTCTCTGTAATATTTTAGTATGAGTTTCAATAAAGAAAATACTGTAAATTAATTAAAACAGTCTTTCACGTCTAATATGAATATTTGAAACTACATCCGTTTTTGAGTAATTTACATGTTTAGTGAGAGATTAGTAGCTGATTATCTTGACTACTTCTCGTATTAAACTAGGTCGAAATCCAAACAAAACCTAATAAACTTGGGACATAAACGATCCATGTTTCAGAAATCTAATGTCAAGTAGTTTAATTTTTATTATTGATTTACTTATTGGCTTATCATTGGATAAGTGATTCCTACGTAAAATCTCAAACTCGTATTACCTATTCCTAGAGTCAAATTATAACCTTTGTAGTAATATTCAGACAGCGATTTTTCAACATTCAGCTCAATTTAATACAGATACTATTTCAACAAATTATTAAAGTTTATAGTGACCATAAATGTAATCATTTATTTTTTCACAATCAACTCTACTATTTGCTAGGTTCGTTGGCGTGAAGTTGGTTCAATTAGTTTGTATAAATATGCTGACGTAGCATCAAATGATAATCGAAATGTAGTTGAGTACTTCATTACCGGTATGTTTAATCTTAAATGGTGTATTAATTTTGTGACATATTTTGTTTATAGCTATTTTCAAAAGTGTTACTAATTAGATTATTATATTAATTGAATATTCAGTAGGTATCTACGTCTTAATCAACTAATCAGAATATTTTAATCAAGTTGTAAAAGCTTATACATAAATAAAGAAAAGACATTGTTTTCACAGTAAACTGCTTATTCATATTAAATCATGCTGAGATAATAACTTTTGACTTAAATGTTATGGTATGAACTCTTGAAGACTATCATAACTATGTCTCAAATTGCTATAAACATTGTTATTAAACTTTCCTTGTTTAAAAAAAATTTTTTAATACCTTTGTTTATTTAACCTCACTGTCACCATGTATAACAGAAGTTTATTATCAGTATTATTATCACCCTGTAAAAATAAGTATATATATTTGCGATTGCACAGCTTTGAAAATGAATTTGCCGAAAAGAGAACTCTTCGCTGAACTAATCTTTCTTTCTTATTTAATTTGTATATAAACCCAGTATGTTTGAAATACATGATACATATCGCGGATGCTGAGATTGGTGTTCTGGACTTAACAGGCAGGACTAAGCAGAAATCAGGACCGATAAAGTCTTCAGACTACTCTTACGGGTTTTATGTGTCATTGGTCAGGTCAATAAATCATTGTTCTCCAATTGGCAGTATCATTACTCATATATATAGGGCACGAGGCCACAAGTCATAACATTGTGTAGAATGCGAGCTGAGCTGAATATCAACTTAAAGTAGATGGATAACGAAATTTCAAATTGTTTACTTCTACAGATAAATCAAGTTATTGGTTATATAATATTTCACAAAAGAGAATTGCATCATTTCAAATTCTCTAATTGGTAAACCTCTGGTTTTGTTGAGGTTTTACTTTGTAGAGTGATGTAACAACATATAACTGTGATAATATGCACTATTTTTGAACACCTCATTAGTCTGTGAAAAGATTTTGTTCGCAGGTAGAATACAGTATGGAATCCAAAGGATGATATAAAAGTAGTATGTGAATGAAATCAACGAAAAAATTCAGTTTAACAAAATAATCGTTTTTAATCAGAACATTTTTGTATTTTGCTAGTTAACAAGTAACACTAAACACTAATACATTATGTCTATAAACGAATATGCTACACAATACATGACATGAATATACTGTTCATCTATTTTAAAAGAGATTTGAGAACCCAAGTTATTTGTAACTATTGTTCTTAAAATAGGAAGCATTTAACCTTGGAAAAAATAAAACACACTAAATTCACTTGGTGTTGTTTTACTTGTATCTTCCCATTGTTATTTAGGATTGCAATTGATCAGTCTCTTGTTTGCATATGTGCATCCTGTCTTGATTATAGCCTTAAGTCATAAGCTTTTTAGAAATTTCACTAGTTGAAATCATGAGTCAATTAAAGTTAGACCATCATGGAAAACCTGGAAGCATTGGACGGCCGTTTCGTCGTAGTATGGGACTCCTCAACAGTGCACATCCACGATCCCACGCTCCGCGAGATTTGAACACAGAACCTATCAGTCTCGTACGCAAGCACTTAACCTCTAGACCACTGAGCTGGTAACCAGCGGTGTTAATGTCTAACTTCAACCAATCCACGAAATTGCGCCACCGTACACAATTGTCTTCAGTGAGCTGATAAGCTTTTTAAGCAAAGATGGATATCACTGCTAGCCACTATCCATCTATGCATAGAACATTCTACTTTGAAATAATAGTAATAACCTATTTTTATATAAACATTAATTTAAATTTATTGAACTAATTAAAAAAAAATAAAATAATTATTCAATTAACTAAAAAATGATCTTGTTTACTTCAATTGTGTTTGTCAAACTTAACTTATTAAAATGTTTGAAAGTATTTGAATTATCGTATGAACTTGGAATCCCAAAATTAACGCAATCGAATCAAGAAATACTAGACAAGCACCAACGAATTTAGTGTATTTAGAATCCGAAATCGAGCAATTAACAAGTACCTTATGATTTCAGTTTTACTTATCATTCAGTTACTTTTAGTTTAGACATAAATAAACTCTAGTCTGGTTAAATATTTCGTCTTAGCTAAGTTGTATATCTAATCAGTATATAACATTGAAAATATTGTTATCATTCTAATGCATTTTATTTGCATACATATTTTCGTGTGTAGAACTGAATAATAATTTGTTGTTGTTTAACTGTTCTATTTCATACAAACTATTTTTAATCACCGGTGGACTGATCACTATTATTATTATTATTAAGATCGTTGAGGTTTATGTTAATGAGCAACTTTCAACTGGGACCTATTAGGAATAGAATATTGTTGCTGTGAATAAACGAACAATCTATTCTATTCTCTTAGTTCTAATGTACTTATACTACATGTTTTATTATGTTAATTACATGTATTATTTCCAGCAGTATTCTAACATCTATACAATATTTTTTCTTTATAGGTTTAAAACCTGGAAGTGAATACATAGTCAGTGTGAATTCTATGAATTCAAAACATGGATCTAGTGCCTACACAGACCCTATTCATTTAAGAACACTACCAAGTAAGTTTTTTCACCAGTGATTAGTTCCATGAATAAAACTGTGAGGTGGTGGGAAAAATTTGTAATTCATGTAGATGATTTTGATGGAATTTTTTCTCTGAGCTGGATGGTTCGGTCGTAGAACTTTCATTGTTTTTCGGAACAACATCATCAGCACAAACTTAAGCTAGAAAGGAAGTGTTTAAACTTTTCCACATTTGACTCACAGTTTGTCCTGTAGACCACGATCTTCAATGAGTATTGTTGACCTTTAGCCTGTTATTATTTACTTCTTTATTCTGAAAGTATCTTCCATTGGTTTGATTCTTGGTCCTATATTTGTCCATGGTTTTTTCTGATTGGTTGATAAATTTGATCTGCTTCAGTGTGTTTAATGATTACTGATTGATCTGAGTGCCAAGCTTCTTAAAATTCTCTGCTGTTTTTAGAATTCCCTGTATCCAAGATCTCAACATTTTTTAGTCGAATGTATGTCCACAGTTATCCACATGCGTGTACATAAGCGAGGATATGTCATTGTGTTTGACCGCTAATTGACATTCATGTAGGCAAAGATGAAGGTGGCGTCCACTTTGTCCGATGTAGTGTTCTTCACATTTGGGACAATTTATTTTGTAGATGATGTTCGCTTTTTCTTCTTTTGTCACTTCGTCTTTTGGTTTGAATAGGATTGATTGAAGTGATTTTGGTGGTTTTTGTGCCACACCTAATCCAAACGGCTTCAATAATCTCATAACTTTTAATGCCTTTTAATATATGGTAGGACGACCCGTTTATTAGTTTCTGTACTCCGTTTTGTTTCTGCTGATGCGTTTCGTTGATATTTTTAATGAAGTTGGTTGAGTAGCCATCCTTTTGAAAGATAGACATTAAATCTTTTTCTCCATCTTTCCGCGCTGAAAGTGTGTTACTATGTGTTCTCGCCGTCTTGTAGATGACTTTGAACGCTTAGTCTGTTTACAATAAATGACATGTATTCACACTAAGTGTCAGAAATTACTTCTATATAGGTTTTATAATTACAATTTTTAATAGAAAAAGAACATAGTTCAACGAATTTAGATCATTCATTTAGACTATGCAGTTGAATAGATACTTTCAAAGAAAAAGAGTATGCCTATTTAAAAAGGAATTATATTATCCTATTTTCTATACCGTAATTCTTAGAATAATTTATTTTTATTAACCTTTATTATATAGTAGATTCATACAATGGACGTGAACCTATGCCACCCTTATCAAATTCTGGTTATTCAGATGACAATGCTTTATTAATCATAGTATCTGCATGTGTTTTTGGATTTGTTATTCTTCTTATTAATGTCATAGTTATTATTTTCTTAATTAAACGACGTCGTCATCGTAATATGATGAGAAGACGACAATATAAATCTGATCAAGGAGTTACTATGACCAATGGAGTTGCATTAACACGTCATGATCAATCTGGTACTGATATGAAAGCACATCTTCAATCATCTTTTATTGATCAAAATGATAATTTTATAGATACAGATATCAGTACAACATGTATATGTTGTCCACCTAACAAAAAAAAACTCACAAGTTCAGGTAACGTAATTTTATTGACTTTCTATCTTTATATAAATTAACTGATAATCAGAATAGAAAATAAAAAGCCATATATATGTTACAATTTAGTTGATATTACCTACATATGACACATCAATTATTTTGATGAAACTATTATTCCATTAAGGAGATGATTGATGGTGTCGATGGCTACATTAATTTATTGTCATTTATAGAAAAGTGAATAGCTTCTCAAGAGAAATTTGTAATCTAAACTATTCATCATTATAATTAAACACTAAACTATTCTATAAAATATAATCTATTATTTCACTAATCACTCATTTATGTTATAAACATTCACACACTATTCAAGAAAGCTGACTTGTCACATCAATGTAATATCATTCATGCTAGGATAATGAATCTCAATAAAATAAAAAAGCTAATTAGATAAATAAATAGTCACGTACAAATCTACTGTTGGAATAAACTTAACTCTGTAATTCATTGGTAGTTAATTTTTAAAAAATGACCATCATACAAAATGAATGTTCTAACCGTACTAAACTTATGAATCATATATAATACAATAAGGTTCACTCTTAGATATAACTATATGGCTAAAAATATACAGTATCTGATTATTTCAATACAGAGTTCATCGTCACTCACTGATATATTGATTACACATGAACTAAACAAAATATGAATGATTTCTTACTAAATGACAGTTTAGCTGTGGAAAAATAGATGAGAAAATTTAAGTAGGTTTTACAAATTACTTTCAATAAAACAGTACCAATCAGTTGTTGATTCTACTCAAATTTTTATCCACATCCGAATTCACTTTTAGTTTAGAAGATGTGCTAACTATAGTGATAGCCCTTTACTTTCTACCCAGCGAAAGATTGTTGTTTCATAGTTTTAGGAATAATAATAAAGAGGATCACTTTAGAAGATGAATAATATACATTATAGACTATGTTTTTTCCTATATATATTTATTCACTGATAATATAATTCGATAATCTACTTAGCCTACATATACTAAACTTTTCGGTTCATCTATTCTCTAGAGAAGTAGCTATAAGCAGGGATGAAAACAATGGGAATTCATTTCCTAATCTTTTAGAATTCAGCAAATAATTGGTATAGTTGTTTCTACAGATTTCTTCCATCGAAAGAGAGTATTAGCTACGAGTTTGTAAACCATCGAAAATAGAGGGACGCTGGATGGATGTTTTACTACAATTCCAGATTCGTCAGTGGCAGACACATAGGACTGTCAGTATCTGGTTTTTCAGATTTTATAACTTCATTCAATTCACTACTGAAAGTATACCTCATAACTACCTTGTTTTCAGCTTTTCTGACTCTAGCAGCCACAGTTCCTTCACTGTGAAACATTTATTCGAGCTTTTCAGGTCTAAAATAAATATATATAATCATAAATATGTTATTCCATTCATAGCTGTTAGTTTATAACTGTTTGCAACTTAAAGAATGTACCTCTGAGGACTATTGAAAGTCAAAAACTAGTCTATTTTCATTTTATACTACTTAATATTGATAAGTACCATATTTAATATTTAATAATTATAACTTAGTTGTCAGGTTTTTTTTAATGCCAGAATATGAATGAAAAACCAAGTGCAAAAAATAGTCGTTACTCTCAGGGTGTCTATACAGGTTCTCGTGATTGAAGTTTGATAATCTGATAAGCTGAAACCCTCAATACTAAGTTTTTAACGGCTGACAAGTGCTCTTTATAATTTCAATAATTTTAACAGTTGAACTCATGAGTCGGTCTAAGCTAGATCACCACTAAAAAGGTGGAAGTTCTGGACAGCCGTTTTGTCCTAGTATGGGACTCCTTAGAACTGCGCATCCAAGGTCCCGCACTACTGGGGTTTTCCATACTAGGACAAAACTGTTGTTCAGATCTTCCACCTCTTCAATGATGGTCTAGCTTAGATCAACTCATGAATTCAACTATCAAGGTTACTATAATTTCCACAAATCCTCATTCTGATAATTTCAGTAATGCCAGACAAAAACATTAGGAATTCTTTTAAGTATCAAGTTAACAATTAGTAACTTTGTGAAGCAGTTGTTTGTTTTGGTCTGACTATTCTCAATTTTCTCTCAACGTTAAAAAAACTTCAGTAAGTACGGTACACTAAACTATTGATCGATCAATAGGCATAACACATAGGTCAAACAATCTCATCCAGTGACTTACTCCATTTACGAAGAAATTTGCCCTAACAGAGTTAAATTTATTCTTACTGAAGTCACTAAATACTAAATATTTGAAGACTATAAAACCCATAATCATGTGAGTTTTACTGTTTTTTTAATTATCTATTAATGTACTAAGCATTCATAATGATTTACAGATATATTTGTTGCTTTAGAAGTATTATATGCAACTGTTTATGATTAAATGACATTATTTAATGCCTAACACAGCTTAATTACTATCCATTAATATTATTATTTGTTTGTTAGGTTATGTAAAAGCAGACTCTTATGGTAATTTTTCCCGTACACATGGTTATGCACCTCATGATATTTGTCCATCTCAATGTTCTCAGTATATACCTACAGATGTTGATCAACAAGGAAATTTGATGAATCATAACATCACAAGCAGTAATCCAGATTTTAATCACTTAACTTCTAATCAAATGACAACAAGTTACCCGGTTCGCCATTTAACATCTCCAAATCCATATTACAATAATACGCTGAATTATCCAATGACTCGTCATGGTTCTACTGAACTCGGAATAGTTTATTCATCAGCAAATCCAGTTAATCAATTAAGACATGAACATGGAAGCATAAAACATTCTACTCGCCATGGTCAACACACTCCAAGACAACCAAATCAGTCTCGTTACTATGGTGTAAGCTAATTTTTTATTGAACCAACATTTATTAATAAATATCTAACATAATACATTTAAATCAATATAACGTTTTTCTGTACAGAACCTAAGATGAACCATTTAAATGTTAACTGTCCCCAGCAGTAAGTAGCAGAAAGCATACAACTTCTTTGCGGTAATTTCAGTGATACATTGAGGTTTTAACAGATCACTCAACTGTGTTCAACTTGCACTCTTAGATTACTTGGACTCTTTTTATCATATTTCTTTATTTTAAAGTCCTAACACTTGTAGGGAAATTCTCGGTGTTATTGTTATGGAAGATATATAATCACTTAACTACAATAAGCTAGTAAGTTACTAAACTCAGTTAAATAATCAGTTGATCAGTTATAACCTACAAAGAACCCAGTACATACTGGCTTCGGTTTAAGTTGATGCAGTAAATTAGCTCAGTGATATATAACTATTAAAATAAATACCAGGATAGTAAAAGTACAAATGTAAAACACTACAATAGAAGAGAGACATGCGTATTTATTGCGAGAAGTTACTATGCATTTACATTCTTGTGAGTAGTTCCCACCACAGGAATAGTAACAGTTGTAGTACAAAAGAGTAGGTTCAATCAATACATTTTGTGGAAGAACAAGGTATAAAAATAGTGAAAAATAGTGAATCCACCCGGACCATAATGAGCAATTCTGCAACACGTCATACAACGTCTCCAACTACTAGTTACGATAAGCGCATTCGCCCAACATGGTATTCAAAACTTACCAACATTGTTCAGACTAACTCTCAATAACTTAATTAACTGATATCATTAACATAAATAAACTGAACTAAAAGCACTTACCGAAACTGATCACAATTTTCTAATGTGAAAAACTTTGATCATAATATAATCAGAACTACTAGATATAACAGAGTATACTGATAAGAAAAAATATTAAGTGATTACTGAAAAAGCATATTCACTGATGAACCTGTACACTAGTTAACATAAACATTGTAATGGCTTTACTTCGTTAATCAATCACTCTTGTAACCGTTATTACATAAATTTCAACGGTGTTTGAAATCAGAAGGCAATGAAAAGTGGCAACTATAGATTATTAGCGGATAGCAAAGATCATAAACCTATAAGCACATCGAGTGTATTTGAAGCAGAGAGGCTGTTATAATTTGTCGTTTGAATGTTTATTGCCTTGGCTCTTTTAATGCTACTTTATGTATCTGGTCGTCGCTGATTGTTATGTCGGAAACGCTTATCACTTATAGTCGGAACGAGGGACCTCCGCCATTCCCACGACGCGAAAATATGAACACAAAGACTGGTATACGTAATGATTTATTAACCCCAAAACACAACGGCAATTCTAGTAAAAATTGCACTCATTTATATATTGATTGTATACCCATTTTGATTAATAATTAGGATGAATTCACATATATAACAAAACACATACTGAACATAGTTCATATCAATGGAATGCAAGAATATCGTATATTATACAGAATAAAATATCATACGAGAAAAGAAAGCAAATACTACATTGAGTAATCATTACAGTGAATCAAAACGGAAGTAATCTTGAACTATAACTCATAATGAGTGAATCAATCGAAAATTGACTTTTGTTTCCATCATATCAGAGGTAAATAAGTGTGTGCAAGCAATTACGTAGGCAAATTTATATTCCAATTTCATTTGGGCGAAGCAAGACAAAGCAAAAGCTAATACTAAGATTTGAGTACATATATACATGGGGAGGAGAATGAATTATCGAGTAATATTTAAGCAATCAACATTTTCACTAGAATCTATCATGTATTCTAGTGATCATAACAGTACAAAGAAATATGTGAATTAACACCGTTGGATGCCGGCTCAGTGATCTAATGGTTAAGTGCTCGCGCGCGAAACCAGTAGGTCTTGGGTTCGAATCCCGCGAAGTGCGGGGTCGTGGATGCGCACTGTTGAGGAGTCCCATACTAAGACGAAACGGCCATCCAGTGCTTCCAGGTTTTCCATGGTGGTCTAGCTTCAATTGACTCATGATTTCAACTTGTGAAATATGTGAATTGTTACTGTTCTAATAACATTATCTGTTAAGTAAGTTCATTAAACGATTTAACCAAAATGAACCATAATCAAAATTGATTATAGGATAGTTACTATAACATAACCAAAGAAAGAAGTACACAGTTTCCAATGCACATCATTATTGATAAATTCTATATGAATAATTTAATAATGATTTAAAATATTTTACTAATTTGTACTACATATTCAATTATGCCTCCTTTTTTTTCTTTTTTTTCTTTTCTCTTGTTTGTTGTCTCTTTATGTTGTAATATCTTTTCTTTTATTGTTGTGAATTATTAATTCTATTTAAATAAATTTAGACACTTCAAAATCTGAATTCCTATAGAAAAATAACAAATGACCAGTTTATTATTGATAATAAAATAAAAGATTGTTCACGATTACAAACTATAATTTCTTCTACAGCTTCAGTGAATAATTCAATCACTGTAGATAGTAATAGTATAGGTTTAACTATAGTTAATAATTCAATAGATTCATCAGTTCAAAATGTTGTTTCTAATCAAACAGCTAATAGTTCCACAGAAATATTATCTACTGGATTAGCTGCATTTTCGCAGATTAAACGAAAATCTGAATTTAATAATATCAATGAAAGAAACAATTTGACCAATGGATTTTTTAATACACATAACATACCTAGTGAAAGTTCACCAGTAGTCTCTATAAATGTAACCTGTTTTCCAGATCATTTTAATCCTCAATCAATGGAATTAGGGTCAGATTTAGCAACATTTTCATACAGTGCACCGTTTAACTACAATATGGGTCCATCGTGTACACCTATATTTTTATCCCTTGATCCCAGTGCATCGGATTCCCTGTTGATGTCAAATTCTTTGATGAACTGTACCCAAGATAATAGCAAATTGTATGAGGTAAATGGTGAAATGTCTGTTACTCCTTTAATGATACATTCACCAACCCCTGTACACACAGACCAGGTTCTAGTTCCAAGCTACGTCCCGGTGCAACATATTTAATATGCTTTCTATTCTTTCCCTAGATAGTAATAATATTTCCTAAATGATTTGAACGTTATATGCATGCATAATTACGGTGTTATGTAAGTTAGCTATATTAAGAATTGTTTATATTGGTATTCTGTCTCTTCAATAATTCCCTATATTCCATTGTATGACTTCAAGACAAAACCTAATTTTGGAAGTACACGTTATTTTTGTTCATCAAGAGAAGTTATTCAATCGAATACATCTAGAAAAAATATACCTCATTTTGAAAATCGACAAAGTGTAAACAATCTTTCTCATGCAATATCTAGTGACTTATTTACTCTTCAAAACCAATGTAATTGTGAACAACAATATTCTATGCACAAACCCCATCAAATTCAATGTCACAAACGATTACCATATTCTTGTTCTACTTGCTTAAAATCAAAATCAAGTTTACATAATAGTAAGCAGTCATTTCATACACTCAACACTCAGAATTCTGTCATTGGTAAGTCTATCATTTATATTTATAGATATAAGCTAGAAATTTAAGTAGATTAATTTTAGCCAGTCGGTCTTGTAAATCGGCTTGAATATACTCTTTAACTTCCTGAGAATAAATTTTGACCTTAATTAACCTCACATTAAACCTCCAGGATTGTAAGTTGCATAGCCTGTATAATAAATACGTCAAATAATTCATTTAGGTTTACCCTGAAATTTAGCAAAAACTTCCGAATGACTCATAGAACTTTTGATGTTGTTCATGGAGATAGAACATGAAAGAAAATCTCTCTTAAAGCAGATCAAATGTTTCAATGTGAGCTGTGAAGACTCCAAAAACTCTTGAAACCTGAAAGGACTGTTAACTATTAGTGTTGACAGAGACTTCAGATGTATGGTCTCTGTTGATTTTCGCTGATTACCCTTCTAAAATATTGCTGCTGAACTAAACTAGTGAAACAATTCAACTTAAGAAGACGATATACGTTAAGCGTCAGGAAAAGAAACATTTGAAGAGCCTAACTTCAGAGGATTTTAGTAGATATTGTTGGACAAAACAACGAAACATGAGACAAGTGCATTTCAATGAATGAGAAGTATTCTGAACGAGCTAAGAACGATACACCTTAATTACATGAAATAACGTTGTCGTGACCTCTGTCTATGCATATATATATATTATTATTATTATCAGGCTCTCATATCTGAAATAATATGGGTCACACTTTTAAAACCAACACAAACTTTGGAAATACTTTAGATAGTAGCCTTTGTTATTCACATACGAGAAGCTGGAGAGTAAAACAATCTAAATTTTATCCTATCTTGAAATAATTTTTTCAGTCTAAAATACTAGGACGAAACGTCCGTTAAGTGTCTCCAGCTCTTCAATGTTGGTTTTAAAAACAAGGTGCCAATAACATTTTAATTCACTAAAAGTGAAACTAGAACACTTAAATATACTGAAGGTTTAGAAAAATGTTTTTCAATTGTTACTGTACAATTAATCAGCCTACTAGTTTGTTCACGTATATACTGAAAGTATCCAGTGATGTGATAAGTTTAAGACATTACATTTAAAAGACTATTTTGGTGACAATCTAAATTACGTTTGTTTTTTAACGACTTATCAATCCAATATTCTAGATAATTTTTCTGAAGAGGACAAAGATTCCGATCGTAGTCGTTATGCGGATCAACTTAGACGTATTCAATACAGTGGTGGGCCGACTGCTCAGGTTTGTTTATTATTCTTCATAATCCTTTATTTCTAGTTGTAATCTACTTAACTAAGTTAGCACGTGAATTAAGTAAGGTGGTTGAAATTATCGACCACTTCATTTACCTTGGAAGTCTCATCGGTCTTGATAGGCTGGTGTTCGGTAAAATCTCAGCACAGATTCAGAAAGCTCATTTGGCTTTTGCCAACTCACGTCTTCTATGATACAGGCGAGGTATCTGTCTGTCAATAAGAGAATGAGTTTATCGTTCTACTTCATATACATGAATCGTACACATTAGGAATAGAGGATATTCGTTGGTTACTGATATTCAACTACAAGCGTCTTCGAAGCAACACTTGTGTATTTTGAGACCACTGAGCAATCAATCCCAAGGTTAGGAATAGAATAAAAAGGAAAAGAGCCGATTGATGAGTTTGTAAAGTCTTATTAAACGATAGAATTGGGACATGTTTTACGTATGTCTAACAACCACCTACCGCAACGGGTGATGTTGTCTGGTGTAGAAGTAGGGTGGAAGATGGCTTCGAGTAGCAAACCCAAGACGCGTCGCCAATCAATGAAACCAATTATTGCTGATGTAAGAGGTGTAGGTAGGTGTAGACTACTTGGTTTGTGTAGACGTGATAATCGCAACTAGTGGTCAGAGACTGTGTGATATAGCTCAGAATCCTCAATGGAAGACGTCCATTTACTCCTTCTTTTAGAACCTGAATTCCTAGATTTCCATTTTTCTTTTTCTCTGTTTTTATATTCATTCTCTTTTTACGATTACTATCACTATTACTACTTCTACTACTCTGGAGTTTGTTTTGGAATAATTTTATCTCGCTATACTGATATGCTATGACAAATTGGGCTGATGCACAAATGCGTCAGGTTCTGCGTTACTTTTGATTACGATGATGAGATTAACACTTGAAACTAAAATTAGTAAATTAGAATAAAGTCACTATTTCAGTCACATACGTTTTCTTTCATCAGATTATATATACACAGTGAAAAAATCCAACTCTCTTCAAGTAGTTAGAGGGATTTATTAGAATCTTTATCTGTGATTAAAATGATTACCTACACTCTTTCAATATAAACTGATTAAAACCAATTTACTTTGTTTCGCGATTTGAAGTCTAGTAGCTTGTATATGTTAACTAATTATTAAATATCGTAGGGATTATGAGGTTGTCTCAAACCGTATGTATTAAGATTCAGTTTTAATATGCATCGAAAATCGTAGACTTATCAAATTGAACATTTGAAGCTCTTTTAAATTCTGGGAGTAGTTTTTATCACCGAGTGGCGTGCCATTAAGGACCCTCGTAAACCAAGTAGAATTTAAAAATCTGTTTAATCCAAGCTTATAACCCCTCGAAAGCATGAACTCACAATTATACTACATGAAGAATTAGCTAGTCACAAGTGTAAACTATCATATTTTAACTTACTAGTCTATAGATGAAGTCTACACCAAGAAATCTGAAGTTTGATCCTGTAGAAGAGAATTGTTAAGAATCTTAAAAACTAGAATTAAGTATTCATTAAATGCTACTTGGATTCCGATGGTTCTCTGGTTTTGAAAGTTCAATGGTGAAAATTACTTTCAAATGTAAATCAGATGGAATGTAACCAACAGTGAAGTCCAAGACCCTCGTCTCACCCTGTGTGAGACTCTCCTATTGCATTTACTTACATCCGACTTTAGGTTCACCCCGGGGCGCGAACTCAATACAGCTCCCTCAAGATGCCATCTCACTATCCATTTAGCCACCAAATCGATTTGTCTCATTGTTCATATTCTAAGTGACATCTCTTAGTTGGTTTATCTATATCCTGTTCGAATCTCCTCGATGTAGCCATTTCGGCCCAATTTCATATAGGCAGTAATACTTTATATCCAAAGTTACAATGTAATTTGTTACAAATAACCAATGTTCTTTTGTTTAATTTACAGCTTTTATTAGGTAATATCAACATACAAAATGACCATTCAAGTCCTGATTCTAATTTAGCACCTTCTCAAGAGGAGCACAATATAAATAACTTCCATTCATGCTTATCAAAATCCAAATTAAATATGCACAAGATCGAATTGATGAATAATACTGATAATAATCATCTTATCTCTAATTTAAATCAATATAACGAAAAACCAAGCAGTTTAGCAGACAATGAAAATCTTGAAACATCAAGATTGTTATATTCAAATCAGTTCAACCGTCAACAACAACTACAAAATCAACACATTACTAATGATTTCTCTGCTATTCCAAATGTAGATAACACTGAAATCAGGTCAACCCATCTATCTGACTGTTTTGTTTAACTTCTTTTGCCTTTTTTCTCTCTCTCTATCTCTCTGGTTAAATCCACTTCTGTTTTTTTTCTAAATTGTTCTTTTATACTCATTTACTCTCCTAACTAATATTTCCGGTTTCTAAGTTGAATGTTAAACTGTATAGACATTATTTTCAATAATCTTTTACACTTGAAAACAAACTTCGACATTCATGATTTATTTTATTTCGAATAGTAATTACTTCTGAAATAACATTCCTCAAATGATTACACATGGGAAAAACACAACGCTCCCCCCTCCACCTCACAAATAGGTTTATCATTACAAAACTAGAATACATATATATTTGTGAATTCTTTCTTCGGTTTTTTTCTTTTTCATTTGTTTTTTTCTTTTTTTGTAAAATTTAATATTCATACCACTTTTATAACGATGTAAAGTTTAACGTTTCTATGACTGTATTTCATTTCAATTTAGTTATATGATAAAATGTCTCTTTTTTTCAATGATTCAAATGATCAACTTCTTCTTATATATCATTTCGGTCAATTTTCATGACTGATAAACAAAATGTTGATATCAATTGATTATTTAAGAGAATATTCAATTGTAAGTTGTAATACTTCACTTCAATTTACAATATTACTATAATTATTAGTTGTGTGTTCATTTGTTAATTGTGAAACTACAATATTTCACAGAAAAATAATTTTTAGCAAAAAATAACTATTTTCTTTCAATACTACTGATTTTGTTTTTTGATAGTATTGAAAATTCAACTTAAATGATTCAAGAAAAATACAAATAGTGGTGAGACTATAATTGATGGACGACCTTTGAACGATGCTGAAGTGACCTTGAGAGTGGACGCCTACTGATTAGGTCTAAATGAGAGTTATAAAGTAGTTAGAATTCTCATTTATAGTTGATGGTTAGGGTTAAAAACAAGACTGATATCAGCCATAGTGTCAAAACTCTATTTAGCCAAATGTACGGGTGAATTTCGCACCGAAATTCGTGACTCGTTATCTTATCTGTAATTGGTTCGTCCATAAATTATAGTCTCGTCCAAATAGTTATTAGGTTCATGAATAATTATCTGAAGGTAGTCTAAAATGTTAAAATATAACAATGATAACATATTCTAAAGTGATTTACTTCATGATATCAGTGTGCAAACGATAAGTGAATCCGTGAACTACTAGCCAATGCTGTGGTTCTTGCATTATTTTATTCATTATTTAATAAATATTCATAGCTATTACCCATTTATGTATAGTAACATAGCAAATCATTTAAAAGTTTAAATTAATTCATGATAAATATATGCACTATCAAAATTTTTAATTAAAAAAAGAGGTGATTGTCAATAGTCGGCAGGAATCCTTGGATCTAGGTTTTATACTAATCTGATCTGATGGTTCCTGGAGGATTCAATCTCGACTCATCATACTTTACTAGGTAAACATGCCACTAGTCGACAACTGATGACCAACTAATTGTGAACAAAATACATTTTATTATCACTAAGCGATATTGTATATTTCAAACAAAATCATGAGGACTATAGGATTTTAATAAAGAGACGAAAGAAACCATGACTCTAGTCTCTTAAATCGTGTTTTCAGAGAACAATTAAAAGTTTGAAAAGTTAAACCTCTACTTTATTTGTTGTTGCAGCTTAAAATTACGTAACTAATTACTATTCATAATTCTGTTTACTGGTGTATATATTATTTAAACTTGACACTTCCACGATGCAATGAACTTATGGTTAGCTTTTTTTATTTCAAGATGGATAGAAAAACGAAAGAACATGTAATTATCTTCCTCAAAAAGTGGATGGGTGATCTATATTTAACTCTGGTCAATTTTGTTATTAATGTCGCTTTTAATATACCATAGATCTTCCTGATTGGTCGACTGAAGGTAAATATTAGATGATAAAGTTTGACTCGACCAAATCTGTTGAGTTTTGTTACGCAGAAATACCATGTATATCCCCCTTTACCTTACATTTTCCTGGTCGCTGAATTTCTTCCGCTCATTATTATATTGTAAGTGCGAGACTCCATGAGGACGATTATTTATAATTGTATGCTTAAATGTTCACAATTATGTGACGTCTAATGGCTCTATTTATGAACATGCTAGTGTAGTGTGTGCTGCTGATCTCGACAGATATAAGTGGTATGTATCATCAATTGAAAATGAAATGCCTGGTGGCGGAAGGTTAAGAAGATCAAAGAAAAGAGAACATGAACAGAGAATGATTGGCATGGAAACGAAAGAACAATGAAGTCTTAGACGATCGATTGATATTTTGCAAATTAAGTATTTGCTGTATGGTTCTCAGATTTTACTAAGGTGTTTTGTAATTTTGTGCTCAAATGCATTGGATTATCCCCGCTCGTATCCCCGTTTGCTACACTAGTTTTGGCAAAACTTTGCTCTTCACATTGACATGTTAACTTACTGTGCCTTATGAATTACTTCGATAAGAACTTATATTCATGCACTTTAAATATGCAGAATCAATTAATTTACAGTTCGTCTTGGCCACACACAGTATTTATGCGTCACGTCGTCTTAATTTAGCCTGGTTATTTTAGGGTTTCTTATGAAGAATTTTAACCATTATGAAGTGTTGGCTCTTAAACTACAGCCATTATGTCAGATATTCCACAATTTTTAGCTACCGATTTTGTTCATTAGGCAATATAACATTTATACTAATCGAATATTTTAATGGTGAGACCGTATGGTAAATCAGATAATTTAAGCAAACAGGTATTATAAGATCACTTTGGTAATGACATGAATGTTTTTAATAACATATCAGAATCAAATCTACAACTTTTGCAAGCGAACATCGTATAATATTGTCGTGAGAGGTTCTAGAACACTGATTTGTCCGGATACAACAATCCTATTGTTTAGTGTTGCAAACTGTTGACCTTCAAAGAGTTAGATACGGAGCTGAACATCGCTCCTCTAACTTCTGTTTGATTAATATAGTCATGTTATTAACTCTAGCATAAACACTGTGGGGGTCCAATTTCAAATACCTGAAAACATACTTTGTAAATAATCTATAAACCTAAACGTCTTACCCAAATATTTAACTTTATCGTACACTTTTAGTTAGAAACTATGTTTCATTATATAACTATATCATAATTATCTTAAGGTAGAAATTTGAAAGTACTGAGCTCATTTACTTAACAGCTAACTAGAAAAACTTTCCTAGTACAACTCAAAGTCTTGTGAATCAAGCCATCACTGAACAGTACCCAATAACATCATAACTGTCCTGAGAGACTGATTTCACAATACATACATAACAAACTATTTTTAAAAACAGATATGTATACACTTATCAAATTAAAATTTTGTTGCATACTCAGTATTGGAAAAGTAAATGCAAAATAATGTTATTTGGGTTTTCACCATACAATATGGTACGATATTATTTCATCACACTACATGACTAATGATTTCTTCCGTAAGAATGGTTCTACAATCAATTCAATTTGTTCTTTTTTTGTTTTAAGCATGCTGAGTGTAGCTTCTTTATTTTTATTAATCCAGGATTCTCCATCAAGGCAAGCAGAATCTGCAATTTTCTAAAAACATAAAATGTTAAACTTACCAAGACTAAAAATAGACATTATTAGTTTTAAAAAATAAGTGGTTTACAGGTGGGGATTTGTATAAATTAAAAGTAATTCCTATCAAGAATCAACATAATTTGGAAAACCACTAGAACCATAGAAGGCTAGGTAACAGTTCCGTATTGGTTTCGAACTATTCAGAAGTAAGTGGCCACATTATCTCGTATAGAGTCGAAGCCAGAACAGTGAAGAGATAGCATCTAATTCTACCCAACATAAGGTAGTGTATACGGACTGTCGGGAAGGTCAAAACTGGAACAAAACGGCTGTTCAAGAGCTTTTTGGTATTAATGACCCTCCAAATGGTGTAAGTCAGTAATTTTAATAGCTTACTAGGATATGACTGGGATAGAAGTTTGTTTTTTACTTCCTTTCCCTCCCATAAACATTTTCTATAACTAAGATAATTTTATTTAATCACGACAGCAAATGTAATACGTTATCTGTTTGAAAAACCTGAACATTGTTTCCAAAACATGAACTCAACAGTGATACCAAATGAATGTTATGCTAAAAAATCTCTCTATTAAGGGATCTAGCAACAGTTTTAAGGTAGCCAATGGATGGCAAGTGGTTATTAGTCAAGTCTAGGACACTTAATTTCTTATATCTGGGACTTCTCAGCTGTATGTACCTGCATTTTAAAGTTACTGTTCACTCCAAGGCCCAAATAGCATACCTACGTATGACGCTTGTTTTGTATTTACCTCCTGTATACATGATTTATAATGTGTAGTAGTCTTTTTTATTAACAGAATAGTAGATCACACACATATATTGTAAGTGCTTAGGGTTCGATTAGTAGCTTATCAACAGGATTTTTTAAAACTTCATGAATTCAAGATGTTTGAAAATTTTATTTTCCACCACGGTTTTTGCGTAGACGTTTCTCCATTGTTTAGAGTTCAAAAAGTTAGTAATAACGTTTACAGAACCTCATATAAGATACTCTGGATGTCCCAAATCTTCATAAAATCTTTTCTCTTTTGACAATAAGTGTCTAGACCGGATGGATTCCTTGCTGTTCAAAACTAACAAATTTACTTATTAATTATAGCGTCTACATGGAAGTTAATATTGTTTTAAACCAGAGACTTTTTTATTAAAATCTATAAAAATGGTAGAATAAAAATTCTAGCATGGATGATGTTAAATTGCAACGTTTAAAAAATAGAATACCAACCTACCCTTTCTTCTTTTGTATAGTCATTCTTATCAGAAGTTGCTAAAATTTCCCTGACTAATCGGATCAGCATAATAAATTCATCACGACATTCTAAATAATGTTAAATAAACAAATTATCTACATATGAATAATATTTTCATTAGGTACCTATCCATTCTAAAATATGCATTGCTTCTTCTTGTTTATATTTAACAGCTAGTTTATGTGCGGTTTCGCCGTGAATATTTTTTCTATAGACGTCGACACCAGCAAAATATAAATATTTTATTAAATCAGCATGATTCCACATAGCAGCATAATGTACTAAATTGCATCCTTTTGTGTAGAAGAAAGGAAATTATTTTTTTGAAACAATAGTTCAAAACTTACCATTTTTTCCGGTTTTATTTAGCTCGTTATAACCATTGCTTATTGCCTTTTCAATAAAATTTCTGGAATCTAATATTGTAAATAATTCAATAGCAGAATTGTGCATTTCGTCATATTCATTCATAGATCGTAGATAACCTTCTGGGTCTTTATCATATTCTTTCAAAAACTTCTGGATTCTATCACCGTCACCCTGAAGAATGAGTTCTATTAATTGAGACATTGTTTAAACCTAAGATCAAGAAAATCAAAAAAATTTCACCTTCGTAGGTGTCCAATAATTGGGGTAAACTCATATTAAGATGGGCGAAAATTCATCATCCTATAGACTGAGGCACAAAGACGATGAAGAAGTTTCTACCTAATTAGTGTTTCCTATTTGTTGATAAATAAATATACGTATATACACATGTACATGAACGCCGACAAGTGGTTAAAAGCTCGCTAAAGTTATGAGACTACTCGATCCTAACATAAAACCCTGAAAGTTTTCTGCATACAGTTAACAACCAAAGACTTAATTATCTTGCAATTGTTTAAGTTACACACATCTTTAGCAATTAAAAGTAAATGACTGACATATGGCACTAACATCAGGTACACTACAATAATAACTACAGCACTGTCCAGTCAGTCATAGGCAGTTTAGGTTCCTTCATGAATGTTAATAGACTTCAGTTATCACAAATCATACAAGAATGTAAAACAGAGAGATCAGTAAGACTATTAAAAGCAGAGTAGAGTAACAATATTAATAGCTCTAGGAAGACAAACATATTCTAACGTAATGTTTGGAAATCATAGAAAATACCCACGACAGTGTGATAAGATTTAACACTCAAAGTTGTAGTTTTATAGTTATAACTTACGATAATTACGGTCTGTATCTAGCTAACCACAATATTAATGTTATCTACTTAAAACTGATCGGTTAATGAAGGCGAATTTTCCCCTACTTATACAAACTTCTAGAATGCTTAACTGCATTTAAAAGCTGAAATCAGCATAAGCCCTTGTCAAACATTACAAGTCTGATATCTTGAAACGTTTAGGCTAGCCAGTCATCATCAACGTGTAGTTTGAGAGGAATGTACGACTACCAAAGTTGCCTTACTACATGGAGTGGTACAGTCTTAAAGCGTTTTTCATACTTGTATTCATGTTTTTAACCTTGAAAATAGAGGCGTTTTTATAGACAAGTACTTATGTCACTACTTACAAATTCTTAACTTTAAAAACAACACCTACTGTGTAAAATTTAGTAATCACACACTTACTCATATATAAGCAAAAATTTTATGATCTCATTGAATAATTCAGAACACTGTTTTGTTAGCTAAGTAGATGATTTTTATAACCTCACAGCAACCGGGAAAAGGACTGAACAATAATTAGTTGTGGAGTGTACAGGAGCAGATACACATTTATACAAAAACAAATTCCTGAGCCTTCTGTACAGAACATTATCCACAAAGACTATATCCCACTAATAAATGTATGTAAACTTACTAAAACTAATAATACTAACTCCCTTTGGAATTTTTAGAATATTACATTATGCATACAAAACCTAAAAATTCAGGCGTCAAGTGTAAAGGACATGCATTTATGTGCAATTTGGTAAGATATTGTTGAGGCACTAAAACTATACATTTCTCTTTTACCTGTGAACATAGGCAATTACAGAGAATTATTCTTGTTATGGACAAACTACCTACCTAATAGTTACTTTATGGTATATAAAAAAACCACACTAAATGTCACTAATGATACACGACGTGTTCGTATACGCTTCGTCTTAAGAAATGTTTTTCAGTTACATGTCCCAAATTTTGTAGTTTTTTTATCGATAAAGACCCTTACCTGAGGCTTGATCCATGATTCGCTAGTGCAAAATGGTTCAAATCTAGTTCAATAGTAATAAGATTTTGTGAATCTGAAGACTTCATACTAAATAACAGAAGTCCTCTAGTTGTAACAAATATTGTCATTGTTCAAGTCAAGTTATAGTAAAGTTCTTCTAAGAGTGATCTTTAGGTTTTTAATGATGGCTCATTAGTTATTGAAACCTCAATAGGTAGGTAGCCGAAGAATCCACTAGCTAAACAACTGAAACTACATTCTAATAAATCCCTTGAGGCAATTCAGCTTTAGTAGTAAATATAACATGATTTAATGTGATCAAAAATAAAACCCGATAAAGATTTGGAAAAAACGAAATGCAATTCTTAGTTCTTATAACTCTAGTTCTAGTGTAATTTCTATTCCAATGAAACTGCTGGACATCCTAGTACTACTGTAGTTCTAGTTTCAACACAACGTCATAAAGCTTTATATCTAGTGCTAACTGGACAATCACTTCAGTCGTTATCGTTAGTCAAGACTTAAAGACTACTGCACACTGCCGTGCAATAGCCGCCAAAGGTTTTAGAACCTTATGGTCAATACGTAGAGCTTTTAGTCATGTCGACGCTAAATCGTTTTTGACTTTGTATAGTGTTCGTTCGTCCTAAACTTGAGTACTGCATACAAGCGGCTAGCCCCTGTTTAAAAAAAGACAGTGAGCTTCTGGAAAAGATTCAGAGAACGGCGACTAAGCTGATTCTCGGAATAGCGAAGCTTCCGTATGAATCTCGACTGGCCAAACTGAACCTTTTCCCGTTGTCATATCGCAGAACTAGTGGCGACTTGATTACAGTCTACAAATTGCTTAGTGATAAATTTGCACCTGATATGCCCTCATTTTTCTTGTCTTCCAAAACAGAGAATTTACGAGGACGCTCCATAAAAGTTCATAAGCCGAGAACAAATTACTTGTCAGCTGACTATCGACTTTCCCATCGAATCATCAACGAGTGGAATTCACTACCTCAGCACGTGGTTGAGGCTCCATCCGTCAACTCTTTCAAAAGAAAGTTGGATCAACTGAGAGACCACCATTGCCAGGACTAACATAGGCAATCGAGCCTCCTGTCCTTCCCAAACGGAAACTGATTCAATTGAATAAGTCAGAAGTCATTGTTTGGATCCTCTGGTCTGAAAACACTTCAGTCATGTTTTATACACATTCATATTCACTCCACTTTGATTCCAATTACTGTTGGTATGCACTTTAGCCTGTTTATTTGTTTGAAAATAGATTGAATAATGATACTACCTAACTTTTACTTCAACCTATTCGTTATTAGTCATCATGAATGATGATACGAACAGTTCAGGATTTTTTCAAATACATATTACTCTAACAGTTCTTGTTAGTGATATGATTTTAACTGTGAGACACAACGTCACATCACCCATGTTTTGAATAAAATCGGCACGTTTAAGGTGGAAAAATCTGAGATGGAAAAGGACAAGAGAAAAAGTGAGCCGACAACTCAGTAAGCACAGAGAACGAATTTACGATTAGCAATCAAAGCAACCAACAACAACTAGAAACAATGCGAATGTGAGTTTAAGACAGTTTAATATTCTGAACTATAGATTGACAACGTTGTAGCAGTTTGCATCTAACTAGAAGGTGATTCGCGTAATAGGGAGGTATCCAGAACAGCGTAGGTGACGAATGTTGAAAAGGTCAACTAACAACCCAGGATCAACACAAAATGAACCTACATTCGTCAAAGATGGTAAAAAACGTAAACTATTAAAAAACAAGAGTCAGGCTAAGATAATCTTGACATCAAAACTAGAAGCAGATAATGTAGCATACTAAGATTTCGAATACGTTACAAAATGTAGTCAATGGTAGCGAAGACTGTGTAAGGTCAAACAAGTTCTCCAATATATAACGTATATGATTATTTGAGTGTCTAGGAGACAAAATTTATGAATAATGTGTGATAAGAAATCTATTAGATTACTCAGTTTGTCAGAGCATTGATTCATTGACGCTACTGCCACTACATTCGTATCAAGGTAGTTTATAAGTAGAAAAGTATTTGTAGCATGCTAAACTAGTTTGATGGAGAAAACTCTGTTGCATAAACCGACAAAACACGTAAAATTAGGCAGAATGAAATATGATTTTTTGCAAATTCTATGGCGACTGCATGAACCTCAATAAAAGGACAGGACCGAATAATCGTGATTACCTGGATTTCCTAGATTGTTATGAATTATGATGAGGTCAACCACTGTTCTAATATATCTGAAAGACATAGATTAAAGTGTCCGCATCCGCTTTTCAGTGAGCAAATTACTTTCCATCCCTTAATACTGACCGTCACCATCCCGACCAAGACAGAATTTGTGTCTAGAACTTCTTATATAGTACTTAAGAAATCTCTTCCAGAGATATAGATGTGGTGAGAACAGTAAGTGTGAACACAAACTAAGTGACAGCCAGTACATTTTTGTCCAGTTTCGTGTATTTGATACTATCTGTACTATCTGATACTGTCTGTATCGTTGTTGTTAAGTTAATTTTGCTGGGACGAAGTGATCTCTGTGGTCTATCAAAAAGCCGTCACTACTACATTTGGTCAGAAAATGCATGATGACATGGAGATAACACACGGAAAACTGATCCCGAAAATAATGTGTATGAAGGATTTCAAGTAGCTGTGTACTGAACGAACACTCGTGTGGGGTAAGCTAATTTATCAGATATTACAAAATTACAGAATTTTTCATAATATACGGAAACTGTACATTAAATAATTCATTTGCACATCTATCAATTGTCCCTCATAAAGTACATCTCTCCTTCATTCCTACTGTTATTAAAATTACTCTTTGTTCACACTTCTGTTCTCTTCAATTCCATCTTCTCAGCCTTTTGCTGCTATATATTTCAGTTCTGATTAGCGCTATATACTACTTATGTCTGTTAACAAAGGTGGCACACACCACAGCTGGACCCTTGACTTTATGTTCGCTTTCTTGGATCTGTAGTAACTCATCAGTATAATTTTGCTTTAATGCCTCTCAAAACGTATCTGTCTATAGTATGTGTGACTAGGATGTCACCGCCATCTCTGTGTTTCTAATTACAAATGAGTCTATATGTTTCCACCAAACCAGTTTCTCCACTTTCAAGTGGTTTCTTTTACAATAAGGCTTTGTACTTAAGCGTCCATTCTTTTCACTTTTCCCACTAATGTCATTGCTTCGAGTTCCCAGTACTAAGTTTCAGGTCTCGCTAGATGGCATCCAACACGGCATTTTGAAGCGCAACACTAAATCAAGCGATGTCTTCCAATAAATGAATCCTCTGATTCCATACAATTGAATGCAATATTTTCGAAGCCCCCATCCATAATCCCTCAGTGACAAATTCGTAGACCTTGTGTACCGAATATGAACACTCGGTTTGTTTTATTCCGCATTTATCCGAAAACCTGACACAACATTCCGTAGTCTTGACACTATAAGAACATCTCAAAGTCAGAGTGCAAGGAAAGAACTTTCAGTCCGTATGCTTTTCCACTTATGAAATTTCATGTCTCGATAAGAACTCAGAAGGATAATAATATTCACTATTTTCTCTATTTGTTCGCCAGATGTGTTCACAGTGGGTAT